TCGGCTGGCCGCTCTCCAGCCCTGAAACTGTAAAACCAGCACAGCTGGGCCGGAAGACAAGCACAGCCTTTCTCCTCTGCTCGGCCGGCGCCGAGCACTACCCTTTGCTGTTTCAGACTTGGGTGGGAGTTAGCATGGCGAGGCCTATTCACAGGAGCTGGAGCAGAAGCGTGTGGAGAGCCATGCCTGACGGTCGGCGTGGGCAGTGCCTCGCTGGCAGGCTCCAGGGTGGACTTCCAGGGCACGCAGTGAGTGGCGGTGTGACCTGCGCCTGAAGCTGGCTTTGGGATGGGCTCGGTGGCACCCTCGCTTGGAAGGATGGCCAATTTAGATGATATAATTTCATGGTTTTTCTAATAGAATTGCTACCAACAGTCCTTGGTGACAGGCTTGGGGCATTCAGCCCAAAGTGCCCGGTGCTTTCAGTCCTGTCACCCATTGCTACTGAGTCCCATCCACCGTCACACAGGACACTCCCCCGCGCTGGCCTCACGCCCACAAAAACCACCCACAAAACGTGTCCCTAAAGAAGAAGATGTAAACACGTGGAACTACTAGCACAACAAACTAAAAAGTTTTTGCAAAGCAAACAAAACCCCAAACCCAACATCAACAAAACAAAAAGACAACAGACTGAAAGGAAAAATATAGTATTCACCAATGATACACCTGATAAGGGGTTAGATCTAAAACATATAAGAAACTCATACAATTTAAAAAAAAAATTTTATATTGATTCAGAGAGGAAGGGAGAAGGAGAGAGAAACAGAAGCATCAATGACGAGAGAGAATCTCATGAATTGGCTGCCTCCTGCACACCCTGAGCATGTGTCCTTGACCAGAATCGAACCCAGGACCCTTTAGTCTGCAAGCCGATGCTCTATTGACTGGGCCAAACCAATTAGGGCAATAAACTCAAGCAATTTAACACCCGAAAAATAAACAATCTGATTAAAAAGTGGACAGAAGACCCAAATAGACACGTCTTTGAAAAGGGTATCCAGGTGGCCCGTGGACATATAAAAAGATGCTCACAGTCACTAATCATCAGAAAAATGCGAATGAAAACCACAACGAGCTATGCCCTCACCCCTGTCAGAACAGCTATCAACAAATCAACAAGTGCTGGGCGGCCGTGGAGAAGAGGGAGCCCTCGCCAGGGTCGGTGGGAATGCAGACTGGTGCAGCCGCTGTGGAGAACAGTGTGGAGCTTCCTCAAAGGATTAAAAATAGAGCTAGCATGCCATTTTACTTTGGGTATTTATCTGAAGAAACCGGAAACAGTACTTTGAAAAGATACACGCACCCTTATATTCAATGACGCAGCCTCCCCGGTGGCCTCGGCCGTCCCCGTCCACCAGCCTTAGGACGTGGCTTCGCCGTGCGGCCAGCGTTGTGGGCAGGGCCCGCAGCGGAGCCTCCGGAGCGGCTCGGAGCGGCCGCCCCTCCGGAGATGCGCGGAGCCTCGGAGAGGAAGGACCGCTATACCGGGAAGTGACCAGCTCACGGCTCTCAGACTCGGTGAGAGACCATCTCCTCCGGATCGTAGGTAACCTGTCGCAGACGGCGCCTGTGAACGTCCACATGTGAGAGCAGACAAAGCCCTTTCTCCGGGATCGCCGATTCCCGTGCTAAGCTCCTTTTGGGCCTTTAAGTCAGATCCAATAAACAAATGCTGTTTTGCTCAGCTTTCCGGGGACACGGCTACCACCACATCGAGGAGGTAAACCTGAGGCAGGGAGGCGACAGCGTCAGATGGGCAGGTGACGGAGGCTGATTTCTCCGGTAAAAACACAAGCACCGACACCTGCCCGTCTCTCTGGCTGACCCCGGCCCAGCCTCCACAGCCCCCAGCGAAACGGTGTGCAGAGGGGAAAAGGACCGGACCAGCCTGGCTCAGGGCTTGAGAACCAGGAGGTCAAGGTTAGATTCCTGTGGGGTCCATGCCCGGTCGAGGGCTCCATCCCCAGCAGGGAGGGTGCAGGAGGCAGCCGATCAATGATTCTCTCTCATCATTGATGCTTGTCTCTCCTCTCAATTCCTCTCTCAAATCAATAAAAATTAAAAAATTAAAAATAAAAACTCAGAAAAAGAGCGTTGCCCTCCTACAAACATCTGCTGCCCGGCCAGGTCTGGGGCGGACACTGGAAAGTAAAAACCGTACTTCTCCCTCTTTACGGATGGTCAGCCCCTCCAGTGGTGGGGTCACACACGGAGCAGGTGCTGGGTAGGGGGGTCCCTGCGGAGGGGCGTCCCAGAGGAAGGGGGGTCCCTGCGGAGGGGAGAAGGGGGGTCCCTGCGGAGGGGAGAGAGGGGGTCACTGAGGAGGGGGTCCCGGAGGAGGGGGTCCCTGCGGAGGGGAGAGAGGGGGTCACTGAGGAGGGGGTCCCGGAGGAGGGGGTCCCTGCGGAGGGACACGCGGTCCCGGGGCGGGCGGGGCCGGCGGGCGGGCCCTCGCTCAGCGCTCAGCCGGCTGCAGAGGCGGCGGCTGCCCCCTGCCGGCCGCGGCGGGAGCCGCCGGGGAGCCGCCCCAGAGGCGCGGGGCGGAGGTCCGCCGGGCAGTGGAGTCCGCGCAGCGACGGACGCCGGCCTCGGGCTGGGAGCCCCTCCGGCCCTTCGCTCCGGGCTCCGCGGGGCCCGCCGCGCCAGCGGGTGGCCAATCAAAGTAACTCCCTGTGGAAGCCGGTTTGGCTCAGTGGATAGAGTCTAGGTCTGCAGACTGAAAGATCCCAGGTCCGATGTTTCTAGCTCTCTCTCCCTTCCTCTCTGTAAAAAAAAAAAATTTAAATTATATCTATCGATATTTCGTATTAAAAGTAATTAATGAATGTGACTATAGCAGTCTTATTCATTTTTGCACTTTACTCAAATACTGCATTGCAATTATTTGTTAGGTATTTTGTACTACAAAACCTCAAACCTAAAAAAAAAAAAAAAAAAGGTAAACGCACTGAACTCAGTAAGAATACCCATCTTGCACTTAGCCCGCTGAGAGCATACAGAGGTGACCTCTATCTCTTTCTTCAGCTTCTGCCATTCTTCCAGTAGAAAATAACGTATTTTGAGTTAATCATCTTTGCAGCCTTGGGCAAAACCACTACCCCTCATCCCTGACAGGGCCCAGGTGGGGCCCGGTTGGCGTGGCAGAGTGACTGAGCATCGACAGTCAGGGCACATGCCTGGTTGCGGGCTTGATCCCCGGGGTGGGGCATGCAGGAGGCAGCCGATCAATGATTCTCTCTCATCATTGATGCTTCTATCTCTCTCCGCTCTCCCTTCCTCTCTGAAGTCAATAAAAATAAATAAATAAAATTAAGAGTGCCCACATAGGGTCCCTATGCACCATCCAGAATGGTTCATTGCTCTGTGCCTACCCTGCACCCACCCCATCTCTGCCAGAGGGACCCACCCCTCTTCGCCCGCCTCCCGCCCCTGCAGACCCATCTGGCACAGTAGTACGCTCTGCTCCTGCGCCTGAGCTCTCACGGCCCCATCACCTATGAGGAAGATGGCGAAGTCCCACAGGAGGGCAGCCTCATTTACACAAACAGCATCCGAAGAATCCAGTGTGTTCTGGAAGCTTCCGGGAGGCAAGGGGGCAAAAGGCATACCGCCTCCACCCAGTCCCACGCTGACTTCTCAGCTCGCTTCCTCCCTGGCCCTCTCATGGGGAGAGGAGACGGGAGCTGGAAGAGAGAAGGAAGGCTGGGTGGAGCGGACAAGCAGGAAGCAGCCTCAGTCCTCAGAGCGGGTCCCCTCCTGGCTCCCAGCCCATTTTGTTCCTGCAGCGATTCCCGGGGAGGTGTGGGTGCAGGCCTCGGTGCAGCCTCTTGCAGTCCTAGGTCCCATGTCTGCACATTCTGGGGCAATTGACAGAGAGGAATTGCAATTCCTCTGGATGCAATTCGCCTGGAGGAAGCAGTGTCTTGTTCTTACTTCACATTTAAAATGGGGTCCAGTTAGCTGTTCCTGCTTATTTTGGGGGCACTGAAACAGGAGTTTTAAAGCATGTCCTTCCTTACTCCTGCTAGCCCTACGCTGGGGAACTCACAATCAAAATCAAGACAGACTTTTTTTTTTAAAGCAAGTATTGTTATTGATTTCAGAGAGGAAGGGAGAGGGAGAGAGAGACACATTAATGATGGCAATCATGGATCGGCTGCCTCCTGCACGCCCCCTACTGGGGATTGAGCCTGCAACCCAGGCATGTGCCCTGACCGGGAATCGAATCGTGACCTCCTGGTTCCTAGGTCGACGCTCAACCACTGAGCCAGCCAGCCGTGCAAGACAGACTTTTAAACATAATTCTGGTTTGTTTCATGAGGATGAGAATCTAACGCACTGCGACTTCATTTGGAGAAAAGATGGCTATTTTCTTAACATCATATCTAACGCTGGAGGACACTGAGTCTACGGGGCAGACAGAAATATTAGTAATAAAACACCTCACCTGGCTCTCTCTCCACCGGGAGGATGCTGATCACAATGCCGAGCACGGCCGCAATCTGAGGCCCAAGGGCTCGTGTCTGAGAGCGTCCCCCTGGTGAGCTGGCCCCCCTGGGAAAGTGCCAGTCCGTTAGTCTGAAGGGGGGAGGGGGGTGCGGGGAGCAATGCTGCCAGCTTGAAGGTGAGGGAGACGATGACTCTCAGCAGAGTGCCAGAGTGCTCAGTGAGTCCCTTTTTCCTCAGAAGAAGGAGAACGGAAGACGAGGGAAGGAAACAAGGCCACGGGAGAGAGGATGGATGGGCGGGCGGGGCCGGGGGACAGAGGCGCCTGGGCGAGGGGCAGGGCCGCTTGCACCATTTCCCAGCATCGATGTTGTAAGACCCTCCCTCAGGTTAATGTTTGAACCCTCGGAGCACATGGGGCCTTGGGCCTGCGAGGTAATGAGTAACCACCTGTGGCCACCTTGCTGGTGGGGGCACTTCCGGTCCTGGAAGTCAATAACCGCTTGGGCCGGGGCCACCCGGCCGTCCGCACTCTGCTGGCCAGTCCCACCATGGGCCGCCCGGAGCTGGTGCTTCTGCTGCTCTTGTTCCTGCCATCAGGTAAGACGGAGCGAATTCTCCCCGTTAACCGTATCGGCTTCTCCCTGGCGAGGCACTAGAGACAGAGAGACGGTGGTTTCCTGAGCCACTCGCTTAATTTAGCTTTTGAGATTCTCAGTTTAAAACTAAACGACTTAAGTCATTCTCTAAGATTGAGGCACTTGTCAAGACAAAGTGTAATTTCCCTGTAAATACTGGGACGAAGGGACAGAGAATGAATGAGTGATTTTTTTTTATATATGTGAAAGGTTGAGCTCAATAATAGTTATTTTACTTGAAAAATAATAGCCCATATACATATAGTGAGCAGCCCCCCCGAATGGTCAGTCTCTTTGCCTGGCTCTCGGCACGGTTAATTTAGCTCTTGGGCACGAAGGTCAGCTTCTCCCCACTTCCAATGTGAACAGTGAGCTACTCCTGACCGCGCTCTTGGGCCAGCTGGTAGGTGCATTTACTTGCCTGTTTGCTCTGGTCTGAGTACGGATTTCCTTACCAAGACGTCTGCTTTATGCCTGGAGGAATCGCAGGCACTGATTTGCCAAGGGGTGACAGCAACACACACTCGGGGCTGGAGGGAGGCCAGGACCATTTTTATTTGTGTGTGCGCGCGCGTGTGCCATTAACTGGTAGTAGATTCCCACCCCGTCCCCAGTTGTATAGATGGCTTAATCCATACTTAGGAAAATCCCCTTACTTGCCTATTGACCAAATTCCCATGCTCAGGAAGCTCCGAAAGTGGGATGTAGACCAAGAAGGAGCCTCATTTCAAGAAGGAACCTGTGCTCTCCGCGCTCTTTGCACCCGGACAAACTTCCTGTGAAGTGTCCTCAGCGTGTCCTCACAGCGCTCTGTTCCTTGGCTGCTTTATTGCATACAGTTCACACACAACTCGGTTCACGCATTTAAAGCACCCGATCCGGCGGTGCCCTCCCCTCGCCACACGTCAGAGCATTTTCATTGTCCCCCAAACACCCTTCGCTGTCACCCCAACACTTCCCTGCCCCTCTCCCCCCTCCTCCATCCCACCCACTCCTGCCAATCCCTCATCTGCTTTCTGCCTCCGACCGGCCTGTGCTGGACATGCCGTACAAACGGAATGACACCTCGTGCAAGCAGGTCTTCCTATAAACAGATTAAATTCATGAATCGCCGGGTGAAGTGCTACAGGTTGTGCTTTAGAGTCAAGCACATCGGAGCTGGGCGGAGCCGTTCAGAGAAGTCGCGAGGCGCCCGGAGCAGAGAGGGACGGAGGGGGGGACGCCATGCGGGCCTGCAGTGCGAGGCAGGCAGGGCCCCACGTGAGAGCAGACGTCTCTGACGGGCTGGCATCTTCCTCCCCGCGAAAGGCTCTCGCAGGCCCTTTTCTGAAGGAGCAGGACTCCCTCTCTGAGAAGGTTTTGTGTCCAATGCGCCAGGTGAGGCGTTTGTATCCACAGCCGCGGGCCGTGTCTCAGACACACAGTCACGGGGACACGTGTCCCTCACAGGGGGGGACAGGCAGACTGACCCACCGTGTCAGGCAAAGGCTCTGGCTGGATAGCAGCATACAGCCACCTGGGCCCTCGAATATGGAACATATTTAAACTGCATTGTACCCATTGCCATGTGAGCCCCGGAGTTAAAATGGGGGAAATATTTTAAAACAAAACAGAAAACCAATGTCTTTTGGGTAAGGTGACCAGACGTCCCACTTTTTAACAGTTTGTCCTGCGTCCCGTGGCATTTTAAAAAAGTTCCGATTTTTGGCAAAAATTGGGACTTTTTTAAAATGCCACGGAACGTGAGACAAATTGTTAAAAATCGGGACTGTCCTGCCAAAAGCGGGACGTCTGGTCACCTTGCTTTTGGGATGTCTCTCTGGTTCCCTTGTTCCTTAGGCAGATCAGAGCAGCTCTGTGCTATGAGCCATAATAACAATAAAGGCACCTTCATTAAAGGGGATATACACAGAAAGTTTCTTATTTGGACATCACTTTCTGTTTAAAAATATATATATTATTTTTTTTATTGATGTTCAGAGAGAGGAAGGGAGAAGGAGAGATTAGAAACATCAATGATGAGAGAGTCATGGACCGACTGCCTCTTGCATAGCTGACCCTGGGGATCAAACCAGGCATGTGCCCCCACTGGCAATCGAACTGTGACCTCCTGGTTCATAGGTCGACACTCAACCCCTGGGCCATGCTGGCCGACCGACTGGACATCACTTTCTAAAAGCTTAACCCTTCCAGGCTGTGCTTTATAGAGTCAATTTAAAAAGGAATCACATGCTGAGCTACAGAGCTCACCAGAGACCAGCTCTTAGGAAAGGGACCAGGACATGGACACGGCCACAAGCCTGTGACTCCATAACCTTCTCATCGCTATCACGTGCTCTTGTGTATCACACTGAGATGGCGCCAGCCGCCTTCCTGTCCAGGGTCCCCTTGCTGCTTGGAGCCCTGAGCTGGGGGAAAGCAGGGGTGGGGGGGGGGAGGATGAATGCGGGGAGTGGAGCAGGGGGAGGGTATGGAGCGGGAGGCAGCGGGCTCTAACTCCTGCATTGAGTGCCTCGATGTGCTGTGTATGCGTTCAGGGTGTGTGTGTGTGTGGGGGGGGGGTGTGTGGCTTGCTGAGGAGTCGGCCTTCTGCTGACCTTTCTGCTCAGTTCCCATCAGCACCCTGTTCTGGACCGGCTCCTCTTCGGAAAGTGTCATAGCTGCTCCGCCCTCCCCAAACCTCCTACCGAGCGCCCGAGGAGACTCTGGTCCGGTCCCTCCGCCGCCGTCCCTCCACCTGGCTCAGCCCCCCGCCCCCCGACGGCCAAGGTTCCACGTTGCCCAATCCCGTGTGGACAAACTTTAGGAGCCTCTGCTCTGTATTTTATTAACCGCTTTGGCCTGTCGCCTGGTGAAAACCACTGGTGTTCCATCCCCGAAGGGTGGAGGCCGTCTCCCTGGAACAGAGCTGCCAAGACGAGGCCAGGCCCAGGGCCGGGGGCAGGACCCTCTGCAGCCTGTGAGCCTCGGCCTGGTCACAGAGGGCAGAGCGCCTCCAGATTCCCTCCCACGAAACATTAAAGACCCGTGTTTGTCTGCTGTCCCTCAATCCCCTCCAGAAGGCCGGTCCGACCATCACCAGGGCAGAACTGGCTCCTTTTTCACGGAGGGCGGGTGCCCCTGCACCGAGCCCAGCGTGGCAGTGACTGCCATGGCAGTGCAGGCCCGTTCAGGCTCAGCCTCAGCAACTCCCCGGAGCCACTCCGGGAGCGCCTGCCGTGTCCGGGTAAGGGACAGCGTGGCCCCCAGGGTTTAGACGGCGGAGATCAAGTCATGGCCCCACGCCCTTCCCGGACCGGGGTGCACGGGCCACCGGTGCTGGGAACCCATTGGCCACCGGCGGTCTCTGGAGATCTGTCACGTCACGGCCACCCACAGCAAGCAGACAAAATTCACTTCCGTTAAGGCTGCACACCCACTGACGTAGAAACTCAGGAATTGCTAACTAGTTCTACCACGTGAATCTACCCATCTACTGATCTCTGAACTGAGTGCAGTCTGTGAGCGGGCTGTTCTCCTGATTAATCATTGCTGTCCGCGGCCCTCTGTTCTGCTGCCAATAAAACAGCGCGTTTTCTCCGGTGGAGGCAGAGCAAACAGATTTCCACGTCACCACGATCGAGCAGTGGTGTCAACCCATTTTTGTTGTTGTTAGTCCTTACCCGAGGATTCCACGCCCCCCCTCCATTGATTTATAGAGAGAGAGGAAGGAAGGGGGAGAGACAGGGAGAGAAACATGGATGTGTGAGAGACATGTTGATTGGTTGACTCCTGTATGAGTCCTGGTCGGGGCTGGGGATTGAGCCTGCAACCGAAGTAGGTGCCCTTGACCAGACTCGAACTCGTCACCCTTCAGTCCCAGGGCCGATGCCCTAACCACGGAGCGCCTGGCTAGGCTGGCGTTGAGTAATTTGATCCTGCTTCCCCCCCTTCCACGTGTAGGCCACGGAGACCCCCTGGACAACTACGTGAACACGCAGGGGGCCTCGCTGGTCACGTTCACCAGGAAGCAGCTGGATGCAGGAAGCATTGCAGAATGTGCAGCAAAGTGCGAGGAGGAAGCCTCCTTCACGTGCAGGTACGTTTGGGGTCGTGGCCCCTGCAGGCACCTGCTGCTGGAGAGACTCCTGCTTTGATATCAGGAACTTTGCTCGTGGACGTGACAGACACAGGATTTAAGAGGGATTTCGTGGGATTGGGGTTTGGGATCTGTGTGCGCTTCCTGTATCGGAATCCATACAACCGTTTCGTGTTACATTTATCAGTGTCCCTTTTAGAAAAATGCTCCCAAAGGACCTTACTTATTTATACATACGACACGAGCAGCTACTATCAAAGCGCTCATCTTTACGATATGTGCCGAGGAGCACATGTGTGGAGTGTTCGGGACCCCAAGGAGCAGAGAAGCAGTGAGGGCGTGCCCCAGCATCTGAGTGGTCAGCACCGTGTGTGACAGGTCTCTGTGTGGGCGCACGCTCCAGCCCTGCCTCTGTGGCCATGTTGTGCTGTAGTCACAGAAACAGGATAAAATGCAAATTTATAAAAACACGGTCTATGTGAGGTATGGGTAAGTGACGTAATATGTGCTCAATATTCAGAGGAGAGGTCAGCTGGGCAGGCCTCCCGGAGGAGATGCGAGCTGAACTGGGCTTTGCAGGGTAGGTGGGAGCTGGAGGCCTCTTAGGCAGGGGGCGTGGCCTGGCCCGGCCCCGGGGGAGGGGGACCAGGCAGGGATCACGGTGCTTGTGTAGGAGATGGGGCTGGACAGGTAATGGCGGAGGCTCCAGCGCCAGGTCAGGGGGAGAGAACACAGAGGTGTAGGTCAGGGGGAATCACAGGAGTTGGGTAGACCGTCTTGGAAATAAGTTCAAGGTCACCAGAATCACTTCTTTCCAACACAAAAGCAAATATTCTGGGGCTTCATTGAGAACATGAGTGAGGAAAAGTAGAGCAGTCAGCACAGAAAGAGACAAGGTGGGGACCAGGAGGGAGAAGGGGGGACAAGGTGGGGACCAGGAGGGGCAAGGGGAGGGAGAAGGGAAGAGAGAAGGGGAGGGAGAAGGGGAGGGAGGAGGGAGAAGAGGAAAGGCAGAGGGAGAAGGGGAGGGAGAAGGAGAGGGAGAAGGGGAGGGAGAAGGGGAGGAAGAAGGGGAGGGAGAGGGAGAGGAGAGGGAAGCAAGAGCAGGCACCAGGGGATGCCCCGAGGCAGCGCCATGGACAGAGGCACACGGAACTGGAAATAACAGTGTGAGGTGAGCTCCTGGGGCACCAAGGGCACACCATCCCTAGTCTCCTGCTTACCACACCCCCACTGACCACGCCCTCTGCTGCCCGGTCCCCGCAGGTCCTTCCAGTTCCACAGCAAGGAGCAGCACTGCGTGGTCATGGGCGACAACAGCAAGTCCGCCCCGGTGCTCCGGATGAGGGACGTGGTTCTGTACGAGAAGAGAAGTAAGAGCACACCATGTTTTCTTCCCTCCTCCTGCTCCTCTACTTCTTCCCCTCCCCACTTCCCCTCCTGCCCCTTCCCCTCCCCATCCTTCCACTCCTGCTCCTCCCCCTCCCCACTTTCCCCCTCCTGCCCCTTCCCTTCCTCCCCTCCCTCTCCCCCTTCTACCTTTCCCCCTCCTTTCTTCCTCCTGCCCCTCCCCCCTCACATCTGCAGTTTGTGCCCACAGAGTGGAGGCGCCATGGAGCCGGAAAGTGAATTAGGAATCAGGATTAAGAGTTGACCACTAACCTACTATATCAGCTTGAGTATATTACTCACCTTTTATGTTTCATTGTTCTTATTTTACTTATTTTTTTTGTTAATTCTCACCTGAGGACATTTTTCCATTGCATTTTAGGAAAAGTAGAAGGGAGGAATGAGGGCAGGGGGAGAGATATAGAGATAGAGATAGATAGAGAGAGAGAGAGAGAGAGAGATCAATTGGTTGCCTTCCATATTTGCCCCAACTGGGGATCGAACTCACAACCTAGCTATGTGCCTGACCAGGAATTGAACCTGCTACCTTTCTGGTACCCAGGATGACGCTCCAACCAACTGAGCCGCCTGGCCGGGCCGTTTCTCTTTAATTCCTGAGTCTGAAGGAGGTTAGATCTACTATTTATCTGGTGCCATTACTAGTTCTTACAGATAGTGAGTCAAGGATGCGATACAAAGCTCTCCCTGCTACACCAGGTTAAGGAAAGGGGGGCTGGTGGGATCCCCTGCCAAACGCTACATCCCTGTGGATGGTTACCCGGAGGGGACATGGGCGGCGCCGGCCTGAGTGCGAGCCGCTGTGGGTGCCTGTTTTCCAGGTGCTGACGGGCAAAAGGTTAGGCAAACAAGGAGAGGTGCAAGGTCAAAAGTCAGCCCTTCCCGTCCTGTTTCCTTGCTGTGTAGTATTGACCCATCTTTTCTGGGAAGGGCTGATGTCCCATTTCCATCGGCCACTGGCCGCCATGGCACTGCCACTGCCCGGGTCTAAGCCGCCATCATCACCGCCTGGGCTCGGAGGGCTGGGCTATGACCCCCTGCATCAAGGCCTTCGTGCCCTGAGGATCAGATCCACACGCCCCCAGGCTCAGGGCCCCGCGTCTTTGAAACCCACCCAGCTGGCCGGGCTCAACGCTTGTCCCTGCGCCTGCACCAGGCGGGCACTCCCCTGCCGCCCGGACCCTCTCTGTCCCTCCCCTGGACAGGCCCTCTCACCTCCCAGGGCTCACTCAGGCCCCACTTCCTGTCAAAGCCTCTCCTGACCTCGGGCCTCCGAACGGCCTTGCGTTTACACTTAAAAACTTTTTTTTATTTTTATTTTTATTGATTTCAGAGAGGAAGGCAGAGGGAGAGAGAGAGAGACATCGGTGGTGAGAGAGAGTCATTGATAGGGTAACCTCCTGCACACCCCCATTGGGGCTTGAGCCTGCAACCCAGACATGTGCCCTGACCAGGAATCAAACTGTGATTTCTTGGTTCATAGGTTGACACTCAACCACTGAGCCATGCCGGCCAAGGGCACTTATACTTTTTATTGACTTCAGAGAGGAAGAAGGAGAGAAAGACAAAAACAGCAATGATGAGAAAGAATCACCCATCGCTGCCTCCTCCACGCCCCACAATGGGGATTGAGCTCACAACCCGGGCCTGTGCCCTAAGAATTGAACCTTGACCTCTTGGCTCATAGGCTGGCTGGGCACACGTACACTTTTGATAAGGGTCCTACGTCTTCCGTAGGAAGATGTCTCCGTGAAGACCTGCTTGCAATCAGTGTACAGACAGCTGGGCTAAACGCACTGGTTCGCGATCGGTGTGTGAGAAACACGTTCCGCAGACAGCCAATCAATCAATTCTAAAGCTGTTCACACGGGGCATCCCAAAGGATGACACAAATGGATCAAAGACACACGACTCCCTGGGCATGTGTGGGTGCAGGCCCTTCACTTTGGGCCGGCGACAGGGTGACCTGGTGTGTTTCTGGCATCAGTGACTCTCCGAGGCCTTGTCCACCACAACCAGCTTCCTTCTCAGAAGCAGAGCCGGGTCCAGCGCCCCCTCCCCTCAGTCTGACTGTAAGGCACCTTTCTGTAGTTATGGTCTCGCCCACATACACGGAGTGGCCAGATGATGATGATCTCTGAACGCATAATAATCTGGCCACTCAGTGGAGATCCTATGTAATAAAAGGCTAATATGCAAATTGTCCCCTGGACCAGGAGTTCCACCAGCAGGCAGGCCAGCCAAACGCCCATGTCCCCTCCCCCTGGCCAGGCTGGCCAGACCCCACCCATGCATGGATTCATGCACCAGGCCTCTAATATACACACACACACACTAAGTGGCCAGATTATTATGTGTTCAGAGATCATCATCATCTGGCCACTCAGTGTATAATCAACTGTATGAGTGGTTGCACTCAGTGGACTTGATAGTAACTTCGAAAACTATTCAGCTCTCTCAGTCCTTAACTGCTTCAGCTTCGTTAAAGGGTAGCTTTTTCCCCATTTGTTTCTCAGTTTAGAAGGTTGTAATGGCCATGGATGGTGCAGGTGAGTGTAGGTCGCCTTTAACCAAACACAGCTGCATTACACGTTTTGACAATAAAAACACTGGGCTCTTGGTAAGCATATACCCCAACTGGTAGGATCAGAAGTGGGCAGACACACCGGGAGGGGGCCTGCCAGCCACGGGTGCCCACCCTGAGCCACGTGGGATACGGGTGGGCGCCTGGCGATGAGCTTAACACCAGGATGGAGCCCTGCCCTGTGAGCCGGGAGGTGGCGGCTGGTTGTGACTCCACTTTCCGACCCTGTTCGGCACTTTTCATATGTTTTTTTAAAATATATTTTATTGATTTTTTACAGAGAGGAAGAGGGATAGAAAGTTAGAAATATCGATGAGAATCATCAACCAGCTGCCTCTTGCACACCCCCTACTGGGGATGTGCCCGCAACCAAGGTACATGCCCCTGACCGGAATCGAACCCGGGACCTTTCAGTCCACAGGCCGACACTCTAACCACTGAGCCACACTGGTTTCGGCGGCACTTTTCATGTTTAAATGGCGGGGAGCCTCAGAGAAGTTAGGGCTGGGTCTCTCCTGGCCCCTGAAAAGCACACTGCCCCTGCCTGCAAGCCCCCTCCCATCCCCTTCCTGCCCGCACAACTGCCGCTCTCCCAGAGCCGGGAAGGTGGCCTGGGGGCAGGACCACCTTATCCTTTCGCTCCACGCGACGCAGGGCTCTGCGTGACCTTCCCGGCGAAGGGACTGACGCCGTGGTCTTCCCAGTCTACCTTTCAGAGTGCAGGACCGGGAACGGAAGGCGCTACCGGGGGACCATGTCCAAGACGAGAAACGGGGTTGCCTGCCAGAAATGGAGTGAGAGTGTGCCACACATCCCCAAGTAAGGCTTCCGCTGCGCGCCCTGCCGTACATAGAATGACCGCATCCCCTCCAAACCCCGGGGCGGGGCCCGCCCGCACAGAGGACCTAGCGGTGCCGTGCAGACCGCCCCGTCATGTATAGCCCCACCTAGGCACGCATGCTTCTCTGGAGGCCTAGCTCCCAGGAGGATGCCTGGTAAGCAGAGAACCACCAAGCACGGATTCCAGGCTGAGTCTGGGACCAGCGTGGCTACATTTAGGGCACAATTAGCTGGAAGCTGACGTACCCAATTAGAAACGAGCAGTGGGTTCTCCCAAAAGTCACTTTTTTTCCAGTCATTCTTTCTGCGCGGCTCCCAGGGGCCACCAGGCGGCACTGCGTTCTCGGGAACAGAGCTCGTCAAGTCCGAGCCGGTGTCTGTGACCCCAGCCCCTTCCCAACAGCTTGCCTTGACTGTGTCCTGTGAGATGGGCAGACCGCATATTCCTGGGACATTAATGCTTATGGGGGAAGCAATGAGACCAAATGGCTAAATTATAGGCTGCCAGGGGCCTTGGAGAGAGTCCAGGCCAGTGATCAGCAAACTGCGGCTCTCGAGCCACATGCAGCTCTTTGGCCCCTTGAGTGTGGCTCTTCCACAAAATACCAGGGCGTGGGCGAGTCTATGTTGAAGAAGTGGCGTTAGAAGAAGTTTAAGTTTAAAAAGTGTGGCTCTCCAGAGAATTGTCAATTGTACTGTTGATATTTGGCTCTGCTGACTCATGAGTTTGCCGACCAACGGGTCAAGGCCAAGCATGTCAAACTCAAAGGCTAACACAGGCCAAATAAACAAGGGTTAAGTTTATGTGGGCCACAAAAAAAACCCCACAAGCTTCAATTTTCATAGAAATGTAGGTTTCTTTCAAAAAGTATACTATAAAATAGAGCAAGAACAATGATAAAAATAATGTTTTCTTATATACCGTTATACCGGCTAGGCTGCAAAAATAGTCATTGTGGACCACATGGGGCCCACGGGCCACATGCCTTGTTTGCTTGGCCCGTGTTCACTTTGAGTTTGACATGCTTGGTCCAGGCCGCCTCTCCTCTGGAAGATGAGGAAGCTGAGGGCCAGTCTACCAAAAACAGGCACGGAGGAGAGTCGACACAAAGCCTGACTTTTAGACTCCAAGTCTGGGGCTTTTGGTCTAACTTGTCATCTCCACACGGCAACTCGTCTCGAGCTGAAAACTACTCAACTCCCGGACCCCGCACTCCCCCGAACCTGGCTGCATCTCAGAGAGAACACAGTGTGGGGGATCTGACCCATTTGACTTAATTCTTGAGATGCCACTTAGTAACTTTTCCAATGTAGGCAAGATCTGTTCGTTTCTACGGGCTGCGTCCCATTCTCATCTGTAAAACAAGGCTAACGTCACCGCCCTGGAAGGGGTTTCAGTAAGACTACACGGAGAACGCAGAAAAAGAGTCTAGTGTCACGAGGAGCATGGTGTTAAGGATGTCGTTTTCCCAGAGCAAGGCAGGGGCAAAAGCAGGCGTTCGGGATGCAGAGAGCCCACAGGCCTGCAGGCGTTGTTCCCGCCACCTGCAAACAGACACCGTGTGGTCCTCCCGAGACGGGAATGTACAAGCAGGAATAACGGGCATGTTAGCGCCCGTGGGAACACAGCCCAGCAACAGAGACACCACAGCCATTCGACACTGGGATGGCAGGACCTGGAGCCTGGGTGGGGGCCGCAGGCTCCTCAGTTTGCGTGGCTGGTAATGTGCTGACGATCAGGATGCAATCAGTGATTCCTTCCTTCCCGTCCCGTCCCGTCCAGGTACTCACCCACGACCCACCCGTTGGAGGGGCTGGAGGAAAACTACTGCCGGAACCCCGACAACGACGAGAAGGGGCCCTGGTGCTACACCACCGACCCGGCCACCAGATTCGATTACTGCGACATCCCTGAGTGTGAAGGTCAGGAGCCTGGCTGCCTCCCCGCACAGCAGTGCGCGATAAAGCCATTTGCCACGGGGATAGCGTGACTGACCGCTTAGTGCCGAGTTTGACACCGTTGATTCATGCGTGAACCTCATGGAAAGGGTCAATATTTGCTCAGACGTCCCAGGGTTGACCTGAATTATTTTTAAATATATTTTTATTAATTTCAGAGAGGAAGAGAGAGAGAAAGAGAGAGAGAAATGTCAATGATGAGAGAGAATCATTGATTGGCTGCCTCCTGCATGACCCCCACTGGGGATCGAGCTTGCAACCCAGGCATGTGCCCTTGACTGAAATCAAACCTGGGACCCTTCAGTCCGCAGGCCAATGCTTATCCACTGAGTCAAACTGGGCAGGGCAACCTGAATCATTTTTATGAAAATGCTCCTTTAATGTGAACAAATATTTTTAAAAAAAATAAAACTAGATGTAAACTCTAGACACACACTTCCTATGCTTAAAGCTCAGCACACAGTTTTGGGCTATATAGTTGGAATAAAACCGCAAAATCAATACAATTCAAAGAGACAATAGTAATGTGGAGACTTCGCTGTTGCACTGAAGCTAAGCCAAAAACCAGTTTTTAAATCAGCGAATCGTTATTTTAATGAGCCAGCCAACTGAATAGCACATCTCAGCAGTCAATGCTAAAAATTACGAACATCCTACTGAAAACGTGTTCTCCATTTCACACCTCCTGCCCCCCTGAGTGTGCGAGGCGGGCAGGGGATGGGGGTTCCTGCGGCCACGTGGCGGGGTTCCCGCCTGTGGCAGCTCAGGTGCCCTCACATTGTCTCCCTCCACCCCGGGACTCTATTTGTACACGATGCTGTGAGGTCATTTGTCCCTTAGTTGACAGGAACACATCATTTTGGTATAAAATCTGGCTCTTTCTTTCCTTATTGCTCCGTAAAACTGAAGGCCCCATCGGCCCTGCTGGGCCACGTCATTCCAAGAATTCTAAACGAGAGCTCCTGTGTGCAAACAACGTGAGAGAGCGAGGGCAGCGGGCCTGCTGCTCCCGCACACAGAAAGAGCTCTGCTCCCAGGGCGTCCAGAGCACGGACAGGCCCAGCGCTGGGTCCGGGGGCCGCCGTCACCCAGACACTCAGCAACGACACAGCCGTCACTAAAGAGCCTATTGAGACGAAGACACCCCTTTTTTAAAAGTCCCAGCAGACAGGCTCCGGGAATCCGTGTCCCCTCCCCACCAGGGCCAGTGCACCCCAGCCGAGGACAAGTCTGAACTTGGTTGTGACTATAATAGTCGAGGTGGTCTTGACCAAAATATGCCAATTTCACCATTTGAAAGAAAGTGGCATTTTAGCTTGTATTAAAATTGAGTCTTTAGTGCCAATTTTATTACCAAGTGACTATCAGATGGCATGTATGAACTAGGCGCTAGTGACTGTGGGACAGCATGTATGAACAGGGGTTGGTGATCATTGAACAGCCTGCATGAACAGGGGTTGGTGAGCATTGAATAGCCTGTATGAACATGACAGCACATATGACCAAGGGGCGAGCGGTATGTAAGACGTGTCCAGCGGGACCTGGTTCTCACTCCTCCTTCCTGCTTGCCCACGCCCAGAGGAGTGCATGCACTGCAGTGGCGAGAACTACGAGGGCACCATTTCCAGGACCAAGTCTGGACTCGAGTGCCAGGCCTGGGACTCGCAGACCCCGCACGCGCACGGCTACATCCCCGCCAAGTAAGTCCCGGGAGAGAACGTCGTGTTCCTGGCCCCACAGCTCCAGTGGGGCGTTCACTGCTGCTGAGATGTGTTCCTGTCCCCCGAGAGGAGAACGAACCTGACGTTCCAGCGTCTCCTTTTGCCTCTCCCACACACAGCTCCCGCTCTGCGATGGGTGCAGAGGCGGTGGGTGCACGGAGCAGAGGTGGTGGGTGCAGAGGTGGTGGGTGCAGAGGCGGTGGGTGCATGGAGCAGAGGTGGTGGGTACAGAGGCGGTGGGTGCATGGAGCAGAGGCGGCCGGCTGTCAGACGCAGGGTCCAGGACCCTCTGCTGAGTCTCTGCCGAAACCGGTCCTGGCTGGTGCATGCACAGAGAGCTGAGAAACCCAGAACTGCTCTCTGGGGTGCTCCCCAGCGCTTCCCTCTCCTCACTTCCTTCGTCTCCTTCCTTCCAGTGAAACTGGGCCCCCTCACCACGGCCTGTGGGTGGGCATGAGCCCCTCAGCCTGTCCAGCTCAGTGCATTGTGTCTGGGCCAAGGATGCCCAGCTTTCACTAGATTCCTCCAGGGGTCAGGAATGTGCCACAGGAAGTGAGTCCAGGCCTAGCAATCCCCCTCCCCCCTACTTCCCACGGATTGTTTCAGAAACACCCCCTTCCATAGCTGCTTCTGATCTTCCTCTTCATTCCATGATGACGGTGGGACCTACTGCCACTTCAGGAAACTTAGACTGAGCCCAGATCTCCCTTGGGGAACAGCTCCGGGGAATTGCTGAGCCTCCCGGGCCAAACGGGTCATGTGAGGAGACAGAAGATTCCTGAAGCCACTGCGGTTGGCTCAGTCCACCTGACTGAGCCCCGAGAGCCTCAGACAGGGAGCGAGCTGAGCCTGAGGGCCCGGGCACAGCTCGCCTCGGGGTCTCAGGCGTGGGCCGCTGCAGGGGGGGCCCCCTGCCTGCACTGGGAACACGGGGTGCCCCTTTCCACCGCCTTCAGCTCAGAGGCTGGTGAGACTGGGCCTGGCAGGCCAGCCGGCCGGCTCTCCACATTCTGAAGATGGCAACTGGCAAGTCCCCGGTGTTTTAAAAATCGCTCTTGTTTGCAAGTGAACAACTGGAGTTTGCTGACATCCATTCTCCAGGCGGCCAACACGCCGACGTCACTGAGCCTGTCCTGTGACTCACACGTGTAAACGGCCGCAGAGTGGTCCTCACGAGGCCGCCATCTCTCTGAGGTTGCCTTTCCCCGCCGCCTCCCCGGGGGCCTGGCCGTGTCTGCAGGCGCTCCACACCTGCTCCTGTAAAATAAGGTGACCAGATGTCCCGCTTTTGGTGGGACAGTCCCAATTTTTAACAATTTGTCCTGCATCCCGTGGCATTTTTAAAAAGTCCTGATTTCTTTCCACTTTTTTAAAACGCCGTGGGACGCGGGACAAATTGTTAAAAATTGGGACTGTCCCGCCAAAAGCAGGACATCTGGTCACCTTACTATAAAGTGATGCTCAGCTGGACACGTTCTGTGCTATTTCTTATTTTATTTTTAAAATGTGCCGCGCTCCACGAATGTGTGTGTCATCCTTGCGCAGGGCCCAGCTCCTCTCCTCTGCGTCGTCCCCGCAGTGTGTGCTGCGGAGCGAGCATGCTCCCTGCCATTGACCGCCTCCTTGCCCTTTCAGGTTCCCCAGCAAGAACCTGAAGAAGAATTACTGCCGGAACCCTGATGGGGAGCCCAGCCCCTGGTGCTTCACCACGGACCCCAACAAACGCTGGGAGCTCTGTAACATCCCGCGCTGCAGTGAGTGCGCCCACCCACGGCCCCTCACCCGTCTGCCCGGGAGCCAAGGTCCCGGGCTGCGTGCCGAGCCTCCGCGGCCCACGAATGCGGTGGGACTTACTGCCCAGTCAAACGACTCCTGGCTCCTCTCGGGAACGGTCTGAGCACCCATTGGTCATGGTGCTGTGGTCTTTCCTGTCAGACATGCTGTGGCCTTCAAGGGGCCGTCAGACCTGCGCTTCCTGTCCACAGAGTCCTCTCTGGCTGCTGCTCTGTGAGCAAGCGGTCCGTCTTCAGGGGGGGCCCTGAGGGAGCAGCGGGAGAGGAGCGCCCTGGGGGGGGGGGTTTGAACCGGCTCGTTTAGCAGGAAGGACCGGGAGAAACCCTTTACCAAGCCTTCCCCTCGATGAGAACTGGAAGGAGGAGCTGGAGGACCGGACAAGGATGGTCATCAGGGGTTAGGAGGGTGCGCAGCCCGTGGGGCTTCCGCTCTTGGATGGGCTGCGAGTCCCCTGGCGTTCCCCTTCTCTCTGACGTCACCTCCTCTTTCTGGCATCTTTCCTTCTTCTTCTCTCAAGAATTTTGCGATTCTGGGAAGCCCGTGCTCTTCCTTGGAGACACTGTGGCTTCTGTCCATGGCCTCTCTGCTGGCTTCATGGAGAGCTGGGTGGCATTTGACTGTGTTCACGAGGGAATAACTGATTCTTCACAGGGGAGGCTGGGTCACTGTGTATGTGAAGATCTGGGGTGAGGGTGGCATGTCGATCCCTACACGTATGACACACTGAGAAAGAGAAGGCATGCCAATCCCTACACGTATGACAAACTGAGAAAGAGAAGGCATGCCAATCCCTACACATATGACAAACTGAGAAAGAGAAGGCATGCCAATCCCTACACGTATGACAAACTGAGAAAGAGAAGGCATGCCAATCCCTACACGTATGACAAACTGAGAAAGAGAAGGCATGCCAATCCCTACACGTATGACAAACTGAGAAAGAGAAGGCATGCCAATCCCTACACGTATGACAAACTGAGAAAGAGAAGGCATGCCAATCCCTACATGTATGACAAGCTGAGAAAGAACAGAAAGCAGCATGCGCTCCAAGGACCTTGTTCCTGGGGGCGTTCCTCGTAAAAGGGTCTCGTAGGCATGACTCTACCAAGTCAACTTCTTCTAAAAACGATAAACCATTTTCCATTTCCAAAGGAGAGAGCAGCCAGCAGCCAGACTGATGCCCCCAGATCCACGGCGCCCGCCCCCGCCCCGGCCGCCTGCGCCTCCCCCATGTCAGCACCTCTCACAGCCATTTCCCATCCCCGTTCCAGCCACGCCCCCGCCGTCCTCCGGGCCCACACACCAGTGTCTGAAGGGCAGAGGGGAGAGCTACGTGGGGAAGGTGGCTGTCACTCTCTCGGGGCACACGTGTCAGCGCTGGAGCCAGCAGACCCCTCACAAGCACAACCGGACCCCGGAGAACTTCCCGTGCAAGTGAGTCTGCCGGCCCCTCCCGCGGCCGAGCCAAGGCGAGATCCCCCGACGTGGCTCCGGCTGGATCCCGACCGGGGAGTCCCTGCGGTGACCACGGCCAGGGCTGGGCAGGCGGCGAGCGGGCCCGGACGCCTGTGCCGCTGGCTCTCCCTCCAGCAGCAGCTGCTGGAAATGCCAGTCCTGGGCCTCCCCCAGGCCCGCTCAGTCAGAGCGCCGAGCAGCGGGTTTGGAGAACACGGGACCCAGGGCTACACTGGACAGACTTGTTGTTGCTAATCCGCTCCAGGGGATAGTCTTCCATTGACTTGAGAGAGAAGGGGGGGAAGGGGGAGAGAGATACATCGATTGGTTGCCTCCTGCACACATCCAGACTGAGACCAGGGATTGAACCTGATACCACGTACAAGACCTTGACTAGGAAATGAACCTGTGACCCTCTGGTCCAGGGGCCAATGATCTAACCTTGCAACCACCCCGGCTAGGGCTGGACATCCTGTCTGAGGCAGGAACTCTGTGGGAAAGGCCCATGTGCTTTAGCGTTCAGCACTGGGCCCAGCACACCGCAGAGCTGTTTGCTTGGTGACCCCCCAGCTCCCCAACCCCCACCCCCCGTTGAAGAATACGTTTTAATCACGGGCCCAGAGAGGTGCCGGTGCCATCACTCTCTGGGTCCTCCAGAGCCCCCGCGCTGCCCACGTGCCCACCCACCTCCCGGCGCCTATAATTCCGGAGGCTTCGCTGGCCAAGCGTCCGCCATCCCGTTAGCCGGCCTGCGTGCTCCTGATCGTGTGAGGGAGCCCGTGGGAGGGCGGAGCTCACGCCGGTCTTTTCCAGAAACCTGGAGGAGAACTACTGCCGGAACCCCGACGGCGAGTCGGGCCCGTGGTGCTACACGACCAACAGCGAGGTGCGGTGGGAGCACTGCAAGATCCCGTCCTGCGAGTCCTCCCCGCTGTCCTCGGAGCAGGCGGACGCCACAGGTAGCGGCGGGCGAGCCGGGCCGGCGGGGGCTCCCGCTCGGCGCTCTGTCAGAGCTGAGCTCTGCTCTGGCCAGAGGACGCGCTGGGGGATCCCGCTGGCGTTCCACCGGGGAGGCTCTGTCATGGCCGAAGGAGGGCCTCCGTGATGAATGCGTCCTGTGCTCCTGAGGAGGAGGAGGAGGCGCCCACTGTGGGCGGGGGGGGCTCTATAAAGGCCAGCAGGTCAAGTTGATTAGCACTGCTTAGCATTCACAGTCCTCACTCATCTTCTTTAATCTATATATATGTATATATAATATATACATATATTATATATACATATTATATATACATATATTTATGTATTTCTTTAAATTGATTTCAGAGAGGAAGGGAGAGGGAAAGATAGAAACATCAATGATGAGAGAGAATCATGGATCATCTGCCTCCTGCACGCCCCCCACTGGGGATGGAGCCCACAACCTGGGCCTGTGCCCTGACCGGGCATCAAACCATGACTTCAACCAAGCCAGCCAGGCTTCCCTGTGCTTTACATTAACTATTCACCAAAAACGTGAGGCCATTAAAATTCTGTTGTCCCCTGTGTGTGCCCATCTACCGGCGGACAGGGAGCAGAGTGGGGCACCAGCAGAGACGGCTGACCTGGGAGCGTCACACGGCTTCACACACCTCTCCTCCTAGGCGTTACTCACCGACTTCTCCCGCTTCCGCTTCAGTGCCCCCCGAACAGACGCCCGTGGTCCAGGAGTGCTACCACGGCAACGGGCAGAGCTACCGCGGCACCTCGTCCACCACCATCACCGGGCGCAAGTGCCAGTCCTGGTCGTCCATGACCCCGCACCGGCACTCGAAGACCCCGGACAGAGTGCCCAACGCGTACGTCTTCGCTTTGTAACCGCGGAGGAGCCCCGGCTCACGCCCGCCGGCCAGCTCCTTAGGCCCCACCTTCTCTTGGCTCCAGAGAGTGAGGCACGGTGTCTTGGCTGCCTTGCTTTTGAGCAAAAATTCCCAAAGAAGAGATGTTAGAAGTGGGCTGTCTCTCCTGCGCAGCTTTGTGGAGGCCGGGGGTTGGGACACAGGGAGAGGTCCCGCTCACACGAGTGGCAAGGTCAGGAAGACAAATGGCCCGATGATTAGCAAGAGAACCACCCACAGCACCTGCTGGGCCACAGCGTCTACAGCCTGACCCGTTCCGCCCACCGGGGCCCGAGCCTTCCGGTCTGAGGGGCCGTGAGCTGCCAGGACACAGAGCGGGAAGGCGGGAAGGCAGGCGCCTCGGGGATAGACAGATGCTGATGGGAATGGGCAGGGAGGTGACCAAAGCCCAGGCTGGCAGACAGCCCTTTGCCCCACACAGGTCAGTCAGCCTTCAAACACCTCCAGGGGCTTAGCCACCCTCTGGCCGGCTTCCTCCAATCGTGAGCCCAAGCCCCGTATCTCCATGTATGGCCTCGGATCCCACTCTTTCTCATTGTCTCCGACAGCCCCGGGTCACGGGTCTAGGATGGAGAGGGAGTCCACCGCTGAGAACCCTGCGAGGCTAGGGCAGTGTCCAGGAGGCCCTGGGTGACCGCACCACCAGCCCCCAGGCTCCTCACCTGCTGTTTCTTACTCAGTGCTTCCTGACTCCTCTGTGAGCCCTCCACTCCCTCAGCTCCCTCAGCTCCCTCAGGCCCCTGCCTACCCAGGTGCCTCTCTTCACCCCTCTGTCTCGCTGCCCTTCAGCCTCATCCAGCTCCCAGGCCCTGCGTGGCGGCAGCGAGGGGGTAGGACCGGTGGGTGGAGTGAGGACAGTGTGGGGTTCCTCCCACCCCCCCAGAACGTGCCCCATGGAAACGACGCCGGGCCTGGGAGCTAGTTTCCAGAGGCCCCTCCAGCCCTGCGCCCCCGAGCGCGATCCACCAGACGGAGTATTAGCAGTTACATTGTGCTCATGGCTGCCCATTGGGCACGCCCAGCATTTAGCTGCAGCTGTGAACGGACTGGGAAGGCTGCGGCATGCCTTCCATGTCACCTCTTCCTCAGGGAGACGCATTCAGTTCCAGCTCTCACAGCCCGAAGTGGTCATAGATAGAGACACAGACACAGACACAGACACTGACACAGAAGCATGTGTGTGCATAGAGAAAAATCTAACACACACGCTTCACAATCCATGTTGGTTATCCCCGGGAGACAAAGTTAACATTCCCAGGGAAAGGAGACATTCTGGTACTTTCTTTACACATTTATATGCCATCTTAGCTTTTACATGGAGCATATATTAATTTTTATTTTTATTATTTATTTATTTATTTATTTATTTTACAGATGCAAAGCTTTAATTTCCCACTAAATCATCACTTTCTTAATATGGTACATGTGATGTTATGAAATTAGCTATTAAGCATTCGAAATAGTGGAAAAGAGGTCCTTTCTTCAGTCTTTTTAATTTTAATTTTTTAATTAAAAATTGTAATCTACTAGAGGCCCGGTGCATGCATTCGTGTACCGGTGGGGTCCCTGAGCCTGGCCTGTGGGGATTAGGCCGAAACCGGCAGTCCAACATCCCCCGAGGAGTCCCAGAATGTGAGAGGGTGCAGACCAGGCCAAGGAACCCTACCAGTATGCGAATCTGTGCACTGGGCTCTAGTAGGCCTATAAGATCTTTGGTTAATCTCTTCCTGCCCTCCCGCTCTCCCCTCTTCCCTCTGAGATCCATCAGTCTTTTCCATGTTTCCATGTCTGTGCATTGAATGTCTGGCCCTGGTGGTCAGAGTGCATCATAGCTACTGGTTGGTCGGCCAGTTGCTTAGGCTTTTATATACAGAGATTCAAAAGTTGTTTTGACATTGTGGACCTGTACTTGTGGCACTGTAATAATTAGCACCTTTGATGGAAATATTGCAAAGCCACTTTGTTAAGGCTCCCCCCGCCCACAACCCCCTTCCTAAGCTCCTAGGGCCCCCCTCTTTGCCTCTGTAACTTGTTTCCTGAGCCCATTTCTTCTAACACTCACTTCTGCCGCTGTGACTTTCTAAGTAACCCTCCTCTTATGAAAAATAAGACTGACTCTAGCTGGTTTGGCTCAGCGGATAGAGCGTCAGCCTGTGGACTAAAGGGTCCCATGTTCCATTCTGGCCAAGGGCACATGCCTGGGTTTTGGTCTCAGTCCCTCCTCCCACCCCCAGTAGGGGGCACACAGGAGGCAGCCAATCTATGGTTCTCTCTCATCATTGATGTTCCTCTCTATCTCTCTTTCTTCCTCTCTGAAATAAAATTTTTTTTAATTATTAACATAAAACTCAGAGGGTGCGGATGCCCCCTGAGGACTCTGCCCCGACTCACGCCCTCTCTCTGTGTGGCATTCGCAGCGGCTTGACCATGAACTACTGCAGGAATCCCGACGGTGACAAGGGCCCCTGGTGCTACACCACCGACCCCCAGGTCCGCTGGGAGTTCTGTAACCTGAGGAAATGCTCAGAAGCTCAGGGCGCGGCCACCAACGCCGCGCCCGCGGTCCAGGCTACCAGCTCCCAGGCCTCTCCAGAAGCAGGTGAGACTGTGCGCTTGGGCACTGGGACCAAAGCCCAGGGAAGCGGGTGGATGCAGGAGCTTGTTGCTATGGGAACCTGAACCCACGTGGCAGGCTTGTCACCTTGGGGGTGGGGCAGAGCTGCTGTTGCTGGTGGCACAGTGAGCCTTGGTGGGTCGGGAGGTTGGTAATGGTGGCATTAGCTGAAATAGGACATTCTATTGTTAAATTTAAAGACATATATATTTTTATGGATTTCAGAGAGGAAGGGAGAGGGAGAGAGATAGAAACATCAATGACGAGAGAGGATCGGCTGCCTCCTGCACGCCCCCTACTGGTGAATGAGCCTGCAACCCAGGGCATGTGCCCTGACTGGGAATCGAACCCTGACCTCCTGGTTCATAGGTCAAGGCTCAACCTCTGAGCACCCCCAGCGGGGCTGAAATAGAGCCTTCTAGAAAAACATGCCTGCCTCCTCCGTGGAGGAATAGAAAGGGTTAATTTGGCTTAAACACGCTGAATTGGGGGAGCCAGTCAGACAGGCGAGGAGGCTGTGTGGCCGCAGGGGTCCTCGGCCTCCCCGTAAGAGGGGGTGCCACCTGAGGGGGAGCCGGCAGCGGTCCCCGTCCTCCCTGTTCCCTGAGCCCTGGGCCGCAGCTGCTGGGCAGGCCTTCGAGGGTGGAAAAACCAGGATCACCGCTGCTCCGGCCACAGGGGTGCGGGAAGGACCTGGATGGAAGTCCAGAGCCCTCCTCCCTGAGGTGGGCGTGGCTTCCTGCAATGTGGGGGCCGCCTGCTCTCCCGGGACCGTGAGCCCCCTCTCCTGCCCGGAGCCCCGCCTGGGGTCCCTCCTGGAAAAACTCAGGGGACCTCCCGCCTGTCGGTGCCACAGTTAGAGCATGGGTAACCCACACGCCTGGTCCTGGAGAATGTCGGGGACAGGCTCCCCGCAAGGCCCCTCCTCGCTGTGTGGATTTTCCAAGTGGCCCCCAGGGCACTGTGCACCGCCCCCCCCCATGTGTCCCACACCCAGTTCTCTCAGGGGTCCCGGGGAGCCCCCCCCAGATTTGAGGTGCGGGACAAGCTTGGGGAAGGTATCCCAAGTCGCCCAGTCACCCTCTTCTCCCCGGAGGGCGGGGACCAGAGCACAGCGCCAGCCAAACAACATTTTCTAGGAGAGCCTTCCCGTGTGCACCCCTTAACCCCCCCCCCCCCCCCCGTGAGAGGAGGTGCTTGAGAGCTGCCGAGCCGTTCACAGCAGCATCTGCCCCCGCAAATTCTCCCGGGGCACCGTCCGCCACTCAGCGGGTCAAACCAGCGAGCTCAGCGTCCTGGCCCAACTCCCAGCCCAGCCCTGGCTCCACACAGCTGTTCCCAAGCCCACACGCATGTTGGGTAACGTGTTAGAACAGTGATAGGCAAACTGTGGCTCTCAAGCCACACACGGCTCTTTGGCCCCTTGAGTTTTTAGCAAAGGCCAGCTCAGGAGGACCCTAATTAAGTCAATGAAAATGGACCTACTTATGTAGTTTAAGTTTTAAAAATTTGGCTCTCAAAAGAAATCTCAGTCACTGCCCTGTTGATGATTGGCTCCGTGGACAAATGAGTTTGCCGACCACTGGGCTAGACGGACAGCGCCCACCACCCCGGCCGGCCACCTGGGCTCGCAGGGCGCGGCCACGGGGCCCCACGTGGAGAACCTGGCCTCGGCCTCAGGGGTCCCGCAGAGCCTGACCGCGGCCTCTCCCACAGACTGCATGCTCGGCAACGGGAAGGGGTACCGCGGCAAGAGGGCCACCACGGTGGCCGGCACCACCTGCCAGGCCTGGGCCGCCCAGGAGCCCCACCCGCACAGCATCTTCACGCCGGAGACCAACCCCCGCTCCGGGCTGGAGAAAAACGTAAGCCGCTCCCGCGCTTCTGCCGAGCAACGGTGGCCCAGAGTGGTTCTGTGCGGAGTCAGCCCGGGCTGGTCTGTGGTGGTGGTGGTGGGGGGGGGGTGTCTGTGGGGCGTGGGGGGATCCCGCAGGCTGTGGGGGCTGAGCCTGCAGGGGAGCAGCACCGGTGCGTCAGCCCAGAGCCGTGCACACAGCCACCCGCTGCAGCCTCACTCGGCGCTCCTCCCTCCCCGCTGTTCCTGGTTCCTGGGTCCACCTCCACACCCGGGGATCCGTGGGGCTCGTGACATTACCGTCAGACTTCCCCAGGAGAAAATGTGGTGGGATTCCCCAGAGTAGGATTTCCCAGTCTCTCACATTTTCTTTTCGTTCTTTAAAAATATCTTTTTAAAAAGGATATGTACATATATATACACACATATATACACTGAGTGGCCAGATTATTATGATCTCTGCCAGATTATTATGTGTTCAGAGATCATAATAATCTGACCACTCAGTGTGTGTGTGTGTGTATGCTAAATATATATATATATAATAAATTAAATATATATGTGTGTGATATATTAAACACACATATATTTATATATATTAAATATATATCAATTAAATATATGTGTGTGTGTATACTAAATATATATATATATGTGTGTGTGTGTATATATATATATATTTAATTGATTTCAGAGAGGAAGGAAGAGGGATAGAGAGATGGAAACATCAATGATGAGGGAGAATCATGGGTCAGCTGCCTCTGGCACGCCCTGCACTGGGGACGGAGCCTGAAACCCGGGCCTGTGTCCTGACTGGGAACTGAACCCAGACCTCCTGGTTCACAAATCGGTGTTGAACCACTGAGCCGCGTCGGAGGGCCCCTCACTTTCTGGCTTGCGTCGGACATGCATAGGAAGGACAGGGAGGCACAGCCTCTGTGGCTTGACCCAGGGACGCTGCCCAGCCCAGGGCGTCCGCATTCTGAGCCACCAGCCAGCAGGCTCCGCGGAGGCCCACGCAGGATGGCCCGCCACGCCCGGGGTCCTACTGCGGCGTCTCTCGCCTCCCGGCAGGGGGCCCTCCGACAGTCCCCGCACTAAGTCCCCGGAGGCCCGCTCCCTCCGGGCGTGGCCTCGGGGCTGGAGCGCCTGTGGGACAGGGAGACGTGACCAGTGGGCTGGGCTGGGTCAGAAGCACCCTAAGCCCCCTCCCCACCCCCGCCCTGAGGGCAGCGTGCCACCCGTGCCCAGGCCCCCTCTCCGCCCGGACACCGTCCCTGAGCAGCCTCTCTTCCAGTACTGCCGGAACCCCGACGGCGACACCAACGGGCCCTGGTGCTACACGACGGACCCCAAGAAGCTCTTCGATTACTGTGACGTCCCGCTGTGCGGTGAGCCGGCCGCGGGGACACACCAGCCTGGCCCCTCTCGCGGGTCCGGAGAGAAGGGCTGGGCTGCCCTCCCCCTGCGCCCCCCCACCCCGGAACCCTCCGTGCCCCCCTCGCCCCTCACACCCCTCCCCGCCTCCTCCCGCAGCCCTCCCTCTTCATCACTGAAGATGCCCACTTGCCTTACATTGTATATTTGTGGGTTGAAAGATGTTAATAATTCCACCACCACGTTCAGTGCCGATAAGAAACAGGTAAAAACAAAGAGAAGCTTCGGTTCTGTCCCGAAAGGAGAGCCGGAGAGCCGTGCTCTCTGGAGCGACCCTTCTGTCCCGCATTCGTGAGGCCGGCTCTGTCCCAGGCTCAGCGGCAGGATCCGAGCTCAGCGTCAGAGTAGCGTGTTGTGGGGCTGCGTGTTTCCTGTTCAGAGAGACGTGTCTATGTGGGTGCGCAGCCCAGGCTGTGACAAAGAGAAAGTTATTTGGAAAATTCAGGCTCCAGGTTCCAGAGAGGGTAGAGTCTCTGGCTGGGACGGAAAGAACCCCCACCCCCACCCCCGGCAGTGTCGTTATGAACAATGACTTAAGGCTCACGATGCTGAGGACTGCAGGGCGCCAGGCACCAGGAAAGCATTTGATGACCCTGAACAGTCCTGGGCACCAGCAGGTGCCACCAAGGATGTTGCCCCAAGCAAAGTCTCTTTCTGTCCCATTTTCCCCGCCTTTGCCCACCTCCCCCACCCCTTCCCGCCCCCGACCCTGGCCACCACCCCGCTGCCATCTGCATCTCTGTGCAATGTCTATAATTTTTAGTTTATCCCTTCACTTCTTCCATCCAGTCCCCCAGCCCCTCCCCTCTGACAGCTCAGTCTGTCCCATGCGTCCAGGCCTCTTACCGATGGATTGGGCTTTGCGGTGTCAAAGCCACCACGCACCGTGCGCTGTATGACAGCGCGGTCACCGCTCACTTCAAACCGACCCTCTCTCCCGTGCAGTGTCCTCGGCGTTCGACTGCGGGAAGCCCAAGGTGGAGCCGAAGAAGTGCCCGGGGAGGGTCGTCGGAGGGTGCGTGGCCAACCCGCACTCCTGGCCGTGGCAGATCAGCCTCCGAACAAGGTAACGACGCTCCGGACACGACGCGTCCGTCCTCCTGTGCGAGCCCGCACACCGTCCGCGCCCGCACTCAGCACAGCTCAGGCCCGGCCGGCCCCGCCTCCCCTCGGAGGGAGAGAAGCCAGGAGATAAAGGGATTGCTTTTTCTTGGTTCTTTACTCTGAAAACAGCCAGCACTGGAGTCTTTTCCTTGGTGCAGGCAGCTGTCTTTAAGGCAGTGGTCGGCAAACTGTGGCTCTCGGGCCATATGTGGCTCTTTGGCCCCTGGAGTGTGGCTCTTCTACAAAATACCACGGTCTGGGCGAGTCTATTTGGAAGAAGTTTAAGTTTAAAAAAGGTGGCTCTCAAAAGAGATTTCCATCGTTGCCCTGTTGACATTTGGCTCTGTGGACTAAGGAGTTTGCCGACCGCTGCCTTGAGGCGTGTAGATGCCACAATTCCCAAGAGCCAGCATCGCCGGGAAAGTATTGAAGACTCCTTGTGAGATGAAGAGCAACACAGCCATAGGAACGGGACCCCTGGTGGGGCACCGAGACCGAAGAACCTGTGTCTTCCTTCAGAGGGGCTGGCCCGCCGTGAACACACCTCCCTTCCGTGGGCAGCGGCCAGCTCTGACCCCCAGAACCCGGGGCGGCACGGCCATCACTCTGGCAGCCCTTCCTTCAGGGAGCCCAGGCTGCCTGGTGACTCGTGCGTGGGAAGCGCAGCCGTGACCCGGCTGCTCCCGTCTGGTTTCTGCGCCCGGGCACCTGCGCTCCAGTGCGGGCCGGCCTCCCCCGCCAGCCTTCTGCCCGGGTGGGCCAGGTGGCACCGCCCAACGTCCATCTGCTGCCCGGTGCTGAGCGGGCGTTTCTGCTCTTTGCCTTATCGCTTAGTAACTGCGCTCCGCACAGCCCTCACTGTCAGGCTTCCCGTCCTTCCCCACGCCGCCCGGGCCATAGCTGGCATCCGCGGGCTCAGGGTGTGTTCCCTCCATCCCCGGGAGCTTCTGGCAGGTCGTGCTCTTTTTGTGAGCGACCTTGCGCCTGGAAGTCCTGGGACATAAAGGATTAGGAACCATCTGCCCCTCGAAAGGGGACCGGCTCAGGTACAGCCAGCCAGTCCGGGGCCAGGCCACTCGGAATCGCCTCAGGCCGCCTGAGAAGCACTCGCCCGGCCTAGCGTAGACCTTCCCGAAAGGAAAGGAAAGACAGGAAGGGGTGGTTTGGCCTGCTCCCTCCTGTTCAAGTCCAGGCTGACCCGTCGGAGCCGAGGGCTCGGGCTTCATGGTGGAGCCCCCGGTTTGCTGGTCTGGGGACGGCTGTCCCCAGCCTCCCGGGTCACCATGTAGAGTGCTGCGGATGGAGCCTTCCAGAAAACCCCCACCCGAAGCGCCGTCAGCCCAGGCGGCCTCTCCCTTGGAACCATGACCCCAACAGAGGAGCGGAGCCCGCTTCCAGCGCCTGCAGAGCAGAGCCTGGGCCCGGAACTGACCTCCGCCTGTGCCTGCAGGTTCGGAATGCACTTCTGCGGAGGCACGCTGATAGCCCCGGAGTGGGTGCTGACCGCCGCCCACTGCCTGGAGAGGTAGGCACAGGGAGGCGTCCGCCTGTGTCCTTCCCTGTCCCCTCCCGATGGCCTGACACTGGGCACCGGGAGTGGGTGTGAGAGCCTGAGGCAGAGCTGCCAGGGCCATGGGACGGGAGAGGACAGGAGAATTTCCAGGGGAAACGAAGGAGAAAGGCCAGCGGGAGTCGGGGGGCAAGGGGCGGGGGGGGGGGGCAGGAGAGAGCCATGCGTGGCACAGGTGCCCAAGTGACCACTGACATGGTCCCATCTACCAACAGCATCGCCAAGAAACACTTCTTAACAGCGAGGCTCAGTCAATTATGACCTTTCTTTCTTTCTTTTTATCCTAAAAATACATTTTTATTGATTTCAGAGAGGAAGGGGGAGGGAGAGGGATAGAAGCATCCATGATGAGAAAGAATCATTGAAGTGCTGCCTCCTGCACGCCCCCTGCTAGGGATCAAGTCCACAACCAGGGCATTGTGCTTCTTGACTAGAATTGAACCCGGGACTCTTTTTAAAATATATTTTACTGATTTTGTACAGAGAGGAAGGGAGAGAAAGAGTTAGAAACATCGATGAGAGAGAGTAATCGATCAGCTGCCTCTTGCACACCTCCTACTGGGGATATGCCCACAACCAAGGTACATGCCCTTGATCGGAATCAAACCCGGGACCTTTCAGTCCCCAAGCAGACGCTCTATCCATTGAGCCAAACCGGTTTCGGCGAACCCAGGACTCTTGAGTCCACAGGTTGATCCACTGAGCCAAACCAGCTAGGACCTTTCTTTCTTTTTAATATATATATATATATTATTATTATTATTTTATTTTTGTTAATCTTCACCCAAGGATGTTTTCCATTGACTTTTAGAGAGAGTGGAAGGAAGGGGAAGAGACAGAGAGAGAGAAACGTTGATGTGGGAGTGACACATGGATTGGTTGCCTCTCACACGCCCTCTGACCAGGCCAGGGGTTGAACCTGCAGCTGAGGTTTGTGCCCTTGACCGGAATGGAGCCGGGACGTTCAGTGCGCAGGCGGGTGCTCAGAGAAGATGGGAGCAGTGGTGGGCATGCTGTCTGGCTCAGGAGGGCGCCCGGGAGGAGGCCGCCCCTTCGCCGCTCACGGCACCGCCTCTTCCAGGTCCTCTCGGCCTTCGTCCTACAAGGTCATCCTGGGCGCGCACCGCGAGCGGAACTTGGAGCCGGACGTGCAGGAGCGGGAAGTGTCCAAGCTGGTGCTGGAGCCCTCGCGGGCCGACATCGCGCTGCTGAAGCTGAGCAGGTGCCGCCGGTGTCCGGAGGGTGGGCACTGCCGCTCCCCTGGCTCCTGGCGCACAGGGCGGGGCTGCGGGGGCTGCTGGACACTCGCAGACCAAGCGTCACTGTGGAAGCCTGTCCGTAACAAACGTCTGTCTGTCCCCCGTAAGCTCCAGCAGGCACGGAGAGGGGGACGTGTTCTCAGGCCACCTGTGCCCAGGCATCGGGGTGGTGCCAGCGCGGAGGGTCTGGGCTCCGGGCAGGTGGCGTCTGGTTGTGGGCGACGGACCGCCAGTGAGCGGCAGGAGTCTCAGGCAGGCAGTCAACCGTCCCGCCTGTGCTTCCTCTCAGCCCTGCCATCATCACCCAGAAGGTGATCCCGGCGTGTCTGCCGCCCGCCGACTACGTGGTCGCCGACCGGACGGTGTGCTACATCACGGGCTGGGGAGAGACGCAAGGTGAGTCAGCCCGTGCTCCCGGGAGGAGGAGCGTTGGCACCAACTCCTCAGCCGGCGAGGCCCCCGCCTGCCTGACTTAGCCGGGCCCTGCCACGGCCCATTCTCGGCGTCCGGGGTCATGGCCAGGGCACCGGAGCGTTTCCTAGTCTCTGGCTCAGCCCGCACATTCGAAGCTGAGACTGCGCCCAGGAGGTAGGGCCTTGCTACAAGCCTGGGCCTGTGGGGCGAGGCCGCCTTCCGTGTGAAGTTAGTGCCCTGAGTCCCAGCAGGTGCCGAACAACTGAACTCAGAGCTCACTTAGTCCCCCAGGTGCCCCATATGTCTGCTGTATGTGCGGGAGACATGGGGGTGGGGCAGGCTGACAGCTGGGTGGGGTGGGACAGACTGACAGCTGGGGAAAGAAAGAAAGGTCCTGTCCTCTGGGCTATCGGTTTATGGATGAGGGTGCAGAAGGAGACGCAGTGCAGGCTCCCGGCCTGGCTTGGGGACTCTGTCCTCGCTCTGCAGTGCGCGCTGTTAGTAACACACTCCTGACTGGGGCCCAGGAACATGTGCGAGTGCCCAGGTGTCTGCCTCGCTCTCTCAGAAGTGGGGTGAGTCAGGATCCTGGAAAAGGTTCTGGCTCTGCCCTCGCTGGGCACGCTGGGCACGCCGGACAAGCCCTCACCTCTGGTCCACTTGGCCCTGACCCTCACCTGCCAGCGGAGTGTCTGCAGGCAGCACTGTCCCCGCTCGCCCTCGGCGGGGCTCTCACTGCTTCCAGTGAGAGGTTTTGGGCTTTAAGCCAGGTTGAAAGGACTGGCCCAGAGCATGTCAAACTGGCCTCCCTTAGTTCCGCACTTTCCCTCTGCCTAAAACCTTCCTCCCGGGCCTCCCACCGCCCGCGGCTTTCGGGGTCGCCAGACACTGAGGAGGAAAGGAAGCGGCCCTACGAGAGTGCCACGCTGGTTCAGTCTTTGATTTTAAAAAATTCAAATGCCACCAATCCATGTGCATTGGACAGTCCACCCCGATTTCGCAAAGGAAGGATCCGAGGCTGAGAAGGGGCAGGGGTGGCGGAGGGGTGCAGAGGCAGACAGGCCCAAGGCAGGACCCGACTCCCACCGGCCAGCTGCCGGGACTTAGAAAAGCCACAGACTCTTTGAACTTTTTTCCTCGGCTTAAAATGGGCTTCAGGGCGAGTGGGGGAGGCGATGAGAGGTGTGGAGAGGCCCAGCGCCCGGTCACGTTAATGACGGGAGTGCAGCGTTCCCATGAGACTCTCTCTAGCAAGTGCAAACCGGATTGAGCCAAAAAAAAAAAAAGGGACTTCCTAGTGAGCCACAAAGCCTGCTGGCTGATGAAAGCAAGGACTCAAAAGCGTACAGATCTGGAGGTGAGTTCTGGTTCCATCGACCTCCATGCGACATCAGGAAGGTAGTTAATCTCGCTGAGCCACAGTTTCCTCATCTGTACCACCTTATAGAGTCGCTGTGAGCATTAAGATGATGCATATGGATTTCCCAGAGATTTGGAGATGGCATTCCAGCAGCTCCTGTGCTTAGACAACTACCATCACCATCACCATACCATCACCACTATGACCATCATCACCCCCATCATCACCATCACTATCACATCATCACCCCATAATCACCACCATCACAACCATAATCAACATCACTATCATCACCCCCATCATCACCATTGTCATCATCAAACTCCAATCCTCCCCATCATCACCTCCCATCATCACCATCATCACTACCACCACCAAAACCATCAACATCACCTTCATCATCATCAAGCTCCAACCCTCCCCATCATCACCATAACCATCACTAACATCACCACCAGCACCATCATCAATGCCTCCACCATCACCCCCGTCATCACCATCATCATCACCATCATCACCCACAACATCACCACCACCACCCTCACAAGTATCATCACCATCACTATCATCACCCCCATCATCACTGTTATCATCATAAAACTCCAATCCTCCCCATCATCACCACCATCACCATCATCAATGCCTCCACCATCACCTCATCATCACCATCATCACCACTACAACAATCATCACCATCACTATCATCACCCCCGTCATCACCATAACCATCACTATCATCACCCACAATATCACTGCCATCACCATCATCACCATCATCACTGCCATCACCACCACAACCATCATCAACATCACCACCACCGTCATAACCATCATCAACATCACCACCACCATCATAACCACCATCAAGCTCCAACCCACCATCATCACCTTCATCACCATAATCACCACCATCACAATAACCATCAAGGAGCCTGCGTGTAGCTGAGCCTGACAGAACCCAGGCCTGCCTGGCCCCTGGGCCCCTGGCCCCCCCCCCCCATCCTCCACACTCTTCTGCACTCTTGGGCTCCCGTCTCTCGGGCCTCCCTGGCATGTGTGCCGGGAAAGTGGCTCTCAGTAGAGTCACTGCACCGGGAGGAGTCACCACACATGAGCCAGGATGTTGGCCGTTTTTCTACATGTTAGCAGTGACCCCAATCAATCAGTGTTTGGTGTGGGGTCAGAATTCTCCCCTCTCCCCTGCAGCCCCCAGACGCTCCCTGCCCTCACTGCTCCCCAGCAAGGCAGACCTGTGTTCAGGCCGAGGGGCCCACTCTGGTCAGCCCCTCACCAGCAATCACAGGCTCTCAGGGTTCCTGCTTCCCCTCTCCGCAGCCCAAGTCACTTCCAGCCCCAGAAATGCAATTCCCACAGTGGCCACCGGATGGCAGCACGTCCGCACAGACCACACCCCCCTCCTTACACAGGTCTGTCCGGCTCAGAAAGCAGGTGCCGGAGCAGGACACTCAGTGACTTGGTTTGTGAGAAAGCTGCTCCCTCCACACCTCGACGCCTCTAACAGGGCTGCTCAGCGCTGCCGGGCCAGGCCTTGTCCCCGGGGCCCACGGGGCCCAGCTCGGCCCTCCACAGGCTGTCCTGCTTCCGGCTGTCAACCCCAGACCAGCATGCTCGCTGAACCCGAGGCAGTTCCCCAGGGACTCGAGGTCTTTGGAGGCGAGGGCACCTCATGTCGTGGCCACCCCAAGCTCACAAAGCAAAGGTCGTTGCAAAACCAGTGAAAGCGGGGCTTGCGACATCGGGAAGCTGGTGATGTGTGAGGCGCACCTGGGCGTGTCCGTTTGGAAAAGCCGCCTTTTCTCTGGCGCAGTTGCCAGGGTTCTAGTTTGTCAAAGGAACAAAAACAAAAACAAAAAAACACCCAAAAGCAGTTTTTCACCAGAAAAGAATACAGTGAGCACAACAAGCACACAGGAGAGCGCGCGCTCTCCCTCCTTGTAAAAGAAATGTAAGTTAGGAAGTGAATTAGGACCTTTCCACCCACTATAAGACCAAGCCTTTTTAAGATATTAAATACCCACGAGGGCGTGGCGAATGACCTTTTCCCAGGGACGTTCACACTGTCCTGCCCTTTGAAAAGCGATTGGCAGTGCCCTAGGGGCCGTAAACATGTCTGCGGCATTTCTGGGAACTGGGCTTAAGAACACTGAGGACTATTCGTACGGCGCATGGACCAACGTGAGGGACATGGCAGGGACATGGGCTGACGAGCATGGTCGTCACAAATTTGGGCAACAGCATTCCAGAACCAGGTTCCCATCCCGGCTTCCCTAGCCACTCGCCCGAAAATCTGGGGCAAGATCCACTCTCTCTGAACCGCAGTCTCCTCCCCTGGACCACGGGCCTGACCGCCGGCCCTCCCGGGGGACTGAGGGAGGGTCAGGGCCATACATCACAGCCAGGGCTGCTGCCTGAGAAGGTCAGTTCTCGGGGACTGAGAGCTACACCTCTCTTTGGAAACGCTGTGGTGAAATACAAGTCACAAAGCCTGCTGGTATAACAGTCCCGAGCGCCATTCCCCGGCATTTAGCACATGGACAGCGTTGTGCAACCCGCACCGCCATTCCCAGGAGGCTTCCTCACCCCAGAGAGGAGTCCATCCCCAGGAAGCAGTCACTCCCCATTAAAATAGCAGTTATGAAGGTTGCAACATGATGACAAAGTCCTTATTACATAAAGTGTGTGTGTGTGTGTGGGGGGGGGTCCAGCATGGCGCGGCATCGGTAGTAAGGAAGCATAGGGAAGAGCCGGAACGGGAATCTGCAAAAACAGCAGCGGCCGGCCGTGTCCCCCATCTCTCTTCACAAAGTAAGGAGGCTTTCTTTATGGTGAAAAAGGAGACAGGAGAGAAACAAACAAAACGCAGGCGCCGGAGTGTGCAATCCCGGCCGTGGGGTCAGGACCTCCGGCATCACGTTCACACGCCCCAGGGTCAGAGACCGAGGAGCGGGGTGTGTGTGTGGGGGGGGGGAGGGGGGTGAGGAGGTGGCTGTACCCAGGCTCTGGGACAAGGAGACCGGCTGTGGCAGCGGGCGCGGGCCTGGCCCCTGAGCGTGGGCGGTGACCTCTCTCCCTGCAGGCACCTTCGGCGCCGGGCTGCTGAAGGAGGCGCAGCTGCCCGTGATCGAGAACAAGGTGTGCAACCGCTACGAGTACCTCAACGGCAGGGTCAAGTCCACCGAGCTCTGCGCCGGGCTGCTGGCCGGGGGCGCCGACAGCTGCCAGGTGAGGAGAGGGCGGAGGGCGCCGCTCCCCGGCGGCTGTCCGGAGGCCTTGTGGCCCCAAAGCTGCAGGTCGGGAGGACTGCCCCCCGCAGGCCACCGGTGGGTCTGCAGGTCGCCGCGCAGGCCTGGCCCGATGCCCAGTGGGATCACCTACCTGAGCTCCAGCCGGGAGCCGGGAGTGTTAGGGTCCCAACTCCACGCCAGCCCCACACCTTCCGGGACCCCATGGCCCATGGGGGGCTCGGGGCCTCCCAGGCAGAAACCAAGAGAGGGAGAGGCCGGCTTCACCTCTGAAGCTCCGGGGGTGACTCCGCCCAGAGAAACCCGGGGAGGAGGGAGGAGGGAGGAGGATAGCGCACAGCTGTGCTCCCCGCACACGTCATTCCCTGGGGCCGTGCTCCCCGCACACGTCACTCCGTGGGGCCCTGTGCTCCCCGCACCCGTCACTCCGTGGGGCCCAGCTCCCTGCACACGTCACTCCGTGGGGCCCAGCTCCCCGCACACGTCACTCCATGGGGCCGTGCTCCCGCACACATCACGCGGTGTCTGTGGACCAGGCTCCGCAGACACACATGCTCACACAGACGTCAGTACGTGCCTCTCTGGCTGCGAAGGGGCTCACCCTCGGGAGCAGGAGGGCCCACATACCAGGCTGCTGGTGGGCACTCACCTGCCCCCCCCCCCCGCAGGGCGACAGCGGGGGCCCTCTCGTCTGCTTCGAGAAGGACAAGTACATTCTACAAGGCGTGACCTCCTGGGGCCTCGGCTGCGCTCGCCCCAACAAGCCCGGCGTGTACGTCCGAGTGTCCCGGTTTGTCAACTGGATCCAGGCGACCATGAGGAACAACTAGCGGCCGGGAGGGGCCCGCGTGGCCGAGGCAGGCGCCGGGCGTGGCCGGGGGCCCGGCGGCCACACGGAGACGCCGCCCGCAGCGCCACCCCCGCCACCGCGGCCCCCTTCGCGGGCGGGCCCTGCCACAGGAGCCCGGGGCGCCGGCGTCCGCTGAGAATAAACTCTGTTCTTGCCGGGCTCGTGCTTGGGGTTCTCATTGTCCTCCCGTTCTGGGTCACCACCCATTCTAAATGGCGTGGCACCGCTCTCCAAGCCTCCATCAGGAAGAGTCCCGTGGAGGACGGGAGCCTGTGGACCCTAACAGCATCCTCCTGTCACCCCGATTCCACCGACAGCCGAAGACAGCGGGCGCGGTCTCCAATGTCTGTCCTCGGCCCAAGACGCTGTTTCTGAATTCCGTCCTTGGCCGCGAGCTCTGCCGGGGCCCGGCCGGGGCCAGCTCCGGGCGCCGCGGGCGGAGGGGTGGGCTGTGACGAGGCCCAGCGAGGACATTCAGAGTGTCCTGCTGGGCCCCGTGAGCGCAGGAGGTGCAGGCGGCAGGATTAGGAACTGCCGACACACGTGGGCGGCTCACTGATTTCCCTTGTCAGCCCGGCTCCCGGGGCGCACACGGTCATGTGGGAATGGGGTCACGGCCACAGGCTCGGAGGGAGGAGAAGGCGCGCCCTGGCCGGAGCATCATCCCAGCCCAGAGAGGCTGTGGGTTTGATTCCCACTCAGGGCACATCCCTAGGTTTCAGGTTCAATCCCTGGCCAGGACACATGCGAAGGCAACCAGCCCATGTTCTCTCTCGCCTGATCTCTCTCCTCCTCCTCCTCTTCTTTTTCCTTCTCCTCCTTCTCCTCCTCCTCTTCCTCCTCCTCCTCCTCCTCCTCCTCTTCCTCCACCTCCTCTTTCTCCTTCTCCTTCTCCTCCTCCTCTCTCTCTCCCTCAAACCAATAAGCATACCCTCAGGTGAGAACTAAAACAAATAAACAAACATAAAAGAAAGCAAAAGGAAGCGAAGGGCAAACATTGGTTTTCCTTGACAATTTAAAATATTTTATTGTTATCAGGACCAAAGTAGCAACTCAAAGTACAGGTCACAGGTGCCGGTGTCCATGAGCAACGCACCGCGGCAGGGAGGGCGGCAGGGCCGGTGAGGGTGGCGGGCGGCCAGCCTCAGGGACCGGCCGGCGTCCCGGCGACGGACACTCGCAGCCGCCGCTGCGGGCCCGGGCACGGGAGCCGGGGCGGTCAGCACCGCCGCCCACACGAGGAGCGGGCAGAGGGCACACGTGGGCTCGGAAGGCACAGGTGGGCAGGAGAGCAGAGCAGGAGGCCAGCAGGCTTGTGTTCTCGGCACGTTGCAAAGTCGCGATGACGAACAAGGACGATCCAGCCCGAGCTGGCAGCTCTAAGAGCCTGTCCCGTCCCTGCGAACCCCGAGCACGGAGATCGCCGACCCGCTTTTCCGTAAAACGGGAGCTGCTCCCACCCAGCGCCGCTCCTGACGGCGGAGAGCGCCCGCGTGCTCCACGCCCGCCCGTGGGCGCCGCGGCCGAGCTCACACACGAGATACTCGGCCCGGCACGGCCAGGACGCCTCACACGGTTTGGTTCGGCAATGGACACGGGCCCGTGTCAGTCATCGCAGGACCAACCAGAGTCACGGGGAACGGTCGGGTCCCCAGGCCCCACCGATGTGTGCTGATGTGGGGCGAGGCCCGAGCACCCCCAACCCCGGCGCCCCGGTGCTGGGGCTGCCGTGGTGAGGGGGTGGGGAGGCCGTAAGGAGGGGGTGGGGAGGGGGTGGGGAGGCCGTGGGGAGGGGGTGGGGAGGGGGTGGGGAGGGGGGGAGGGGGGGAGGGGAGGGAAGGCCGTGGGGAGGCCGTGGGGTGGCCGTGGGGAGGGGGTAGGGAGCCCGTGGGGAGGGGGTAAGGAAGGGGTGGGGCGGCCGTGGGGAGGCTGTGGGCTCGCAGACCCAGGCGAGGAGAAAGCACAGGCTCCATCGGATGTCCGTGTCTTCACTGTAGACCCAGCTGTTATCCTCCCAGGAGCCCTCAGGACGCGCTCCAGAGCCGGGGGTCCTGGTGCCCCGGTTCTGTCCACGTCCCCGGCCCTGGCTGCTCACCCGGTTCCGGTGGAGCCGCCGTGAGCCCCGGGCGGCTTCTCGCCCAGTGGCCACGGGGCGGACGTGTCCAGCGTCAGGACACTCCTCCAGCATCTCCTCCGGGCCAGTGCAGTCTGTGAAGAGTTTAGCAGCGGGGCTGCGGGTACAGCTGCTCGGCCCGCGCTGCCCCGCGGTCCCGGCCGGCGCCTCACAGGGGGGCCCCGGGCACCGGGGTCTTCTGCTTCCTGCCGCACCGATAGGAGGGCGGGCTGGCAGAGAGAGAGAGCGAGAGAGAGGCCTCACCACAGGAACGGCCAGGCAGCGTCCTGGCTAGTTCACAGACACATATACATACACAGGTACATACTCACATACACAAATACACACATACACACAGATGCACACAATAACACACATACACACAGAGATACGTACACATACACGCTCACACACACACACACACACACACACACACACGGCTTCTCCTGAACACTGCTCAGAGCAACAGCACCCCCTCTCCAGGCCCCTTCCGCCCACTTCCAGACCCTCGCACACATACGTCCTTCACGCATGACCACGGGTGACGCGTGGTTCGGGAAGGAGTTAATGTGCGAGCAGAGAGCAGCAGAGCGGCCTGTGCTTTGCTCCCTTCGGGAGGGAGACGCCGTCAGGGCCCGGCCGGTCAGCACAGAGCGGCCGTTTCCAGGGAAACCGCCTCCTCCCGGTGGAACCGCAAACCCCACTTTTACGGGGCGTTTCCCGCGGCAGAGGCAGGCACAGCAGTAACTTATCGGAATTTCGGTATGGAAAGTGACAAACGTGGAAACAACGTGTGCGAGGTGGGTTCCTGCTGCCCCGCCGCTCCCCGCTCCTCGGTGCTGGGACGCTCATTTCCCGGCACCCCACCCGATGCCCTGTGCTCCCCGAACCCCGCTCTCCGCTGGCTCCAGGCTGAGGTGAGGACTCACTGGGTAGGCGAGTCCTGACCCCAAATTCCTGCCTTCTCTGCCTTCCCCTGAGGAGTTTGAGAACCTGACCCCGGACGGGCGAGTCTTGAGGCCAGGAAATCGCCTACCGAGTGAGTCGTTAGAGTGAAACCGTGGGGAGAGGTGGGACTTGGGGAGCAGAGGGCATCGGTGGGGTGCAGGGAAAACGAGCTTCCGAGCACCATAGGAGCAGGAAGAACTGGAGCAGAAAACCAGCCAGGAAAACGCCTGCCCTCAGGTCACTGGCACTGAGGGGTCATGGGGAGGCACCCAGACTGGGTGGGGTCCATAAGTCCCCCATGCAGCCCCTGCCTCTGGCCCTGGCACCCGGCTGGGTGCTCTCCTGGGTGCCCCAGCCCAACAGCCCTTCAGCCCTTCAGCCCACGAGGGCTCCCCTCACGTCTGAGTAAGATGGTCCTAGTCCCATCTCCCTGCGTCACTGAAGCTTCCGGAATACCCTCCTTTCTCCCCATCTGCTAGCACTGCTATGGGGGATGGGACTCAGCCCCCACCCCTGACCTGGCCCCGTACCCCGGTGGGAACCAAGAAATGGTCCGCGATGACAGAATTAGCAAAACTGTTTCTACGTCCTGTTGATGCTCTGGAGGCTTCCCACAGTTTTCATGCCGTTTGAGTTTCTCTTCCTCATTCTAGTGGACCACACGCTAAAGCTTGAGGGGACCCCGCTGCCTCCCCCAAACTCCAGCCTGGAGCATCGCCCACATGGGATGGAGCAGAGCGGTGGGTGGGGACTAAGCCGGCCCATCACTCCCCACAGCTCAGACTCCGCTGCCTCGGGGTTCAGCGGCCACAGCCCTCTGAGGCCAGTCCTGCGCAGTCAGCCCGGGACGGGGCTGGGCCGGGATTCTGGGAGGGTTGGGCAGCCTGAGTTTTCAACACCGCACCAAGAAACAGGACGGAAGCCGGGCCGGCAGGCTCGGTGGTGGAGCTACGACCCAGGAGGCCACAGTTTGATTCCTGGCCAGGGCACAGGCCCGGGTTGTGGGCTCAGTCCCCAGGAGGAGGTGGGTAGGAGGCAGCCGACCAAGGATTCCCTCTCATCATGGATGTTTCCGGCTCTCTCCCTCTTCCTTCCTCTCTGAAACCAATAAAAGACATTTAAAAAGAAGAAGAAGGAACAGGACAAGGAAATCCCCGCGTAGGTTTCCTGGGGCTGGTCAAGTACTCAGAGACACACAGCAGTGGGTCTGCCTCAGGGGAGGGTGGAACCTCATAAAGAGAGAGCGTGAAGGGGCACATTTCCAGGTCTACCCATTAAGAATTCATAATGGAGGAGGACATGGCATGAAATAATAAACCTGCACTAATAGCCAAGTGCCCAAGGCCACGGAGTGCACCACCCCGGGCCTGGCCACAGAGTCCTCTCTGAGCACCGGCTTCCTCGTCCGCAGGAACGTGAGGATGGTTTTGCCTGAATCATTGGGTTTTAAATAAAATGGCCCACGTGACGCCATCAATCACATCGGCTCCTAAAAATGGGCACCTGCTTTCTTCCCAGCGTACAGGTGAAAAGAACTGCCACCAGGTGACTAACGTTTCAAGTATTTTTGATATAATTGTTTAAAATTAGAGACCTAAACCCCTAATTTCCAGGTCATTCTTTAGAAGAAGAGTGAATTTTACTTCTAAAATTAGCTGTTAAGTTACTTTTAAAAATTACACTAATAATATAAGACAACGTGTTGTGATTTTTTAAAAATCTTCCCTCCTGCATCCTCTTCCCAGTCATGCAGCTCCACAGAGCATATAACATTATTTTAGATATTTTCCTACACACTGCCATAGTCACAGCCTCACTTTCTATTTTGAAATATTTCAGAGAACATTAGAATTGCGTAATGTGAGGTTTTGTTATTCTAACACAAATATATTTTGCATTGATAGACTGGGTAGATAACTCTCCCTGTACATCATTTAGATGCCTTCTCCAATACTAAACTGTCCTCTGTCATTCCCTTACTTATTTTTAAATTTTGTATTTATTTTTATTTGTTAACTACACTTTATGTTCAATGTTATTTTATGTTAGTTTTAGATGTACAGCATAATGGTTAGATAATCACATACTGATATTTCTAGTGTTTCCCCTGATATATCTAATACCCCTACTTCTATCTCTATCATCAATCATCTATCTATTATCTATCAATCATCTATCTATCACCTATCTACCTATCAATGATCTATCTATCTATCTTCCCACCACTCTACAGATAGAAATTTCTATTGGTTTTATCTTTAATAAACACTATACCACATTGTTTGGGGACTTTTCATTTGGTCATCAGTCTTGCAAACCTTCCCAAGCCATTCCATGTAGATCTACCTTAATTCCTTTAATCTCCGTCTGTGAATATATGAATATATATGAATATACTATGAATAGATTCTTCTTATAGTCATTTGTCTATTGTTGAGCAGTTATGTTATTTCTACTTTGTCAAATCATCACTCGCTCTCCTTTGGATTGCTTCTGAACTTTAACACCTTCCTTGGAAATATCTCCCTGTCCACAGCCACCTTTTAAAAATAATATATATTCCCCCACAGTTTGGGTTGTTTGTTGTTGTTGTTTTACGTTTACCTCTGACAACTGATTTTCACCTGCGCTAGGCTGTGAGACAGGGATGTGTTCTTCTCCCCCGGGTGCTCAGTGTCTCAGCACACCTGCTCCCCGGGGTCTGAGACCGCCTTACCGGGACTGAGGGCGTGGGGGCGGCCTACACACCTGCCCAGCTTCTCCACGTCGTCCACCGTCTCCGGCAGGGCGATGCCCTTGGTCTCAGGCAGAAGCATCACGAGGCCGCCGCACACAGAGGCCAGCACACCTGCGGGCAGGGGAGGGCATCACCACCAGGCTGCACGCTGCCCCGCGCCCCTCAGCTACTCCCCACCCCCCGGAAGCAGCGTGCTCACCCCCTCCACTGGCCCTGGCTGCGGCCGCTGTGACCCTCACCAGCTCTGCAGCTCTCCTTTGCCACGCTTTTTTTACCCCCCGCCCTGTGCAGCCCCAGCGCCCTGTACTCTTGGCGGGCATCGGCTCACTCACCCACCGGTCAATTACTTACTGAGCACCGACTAAGGGCCAAGGCCTCAGAGAAGCCTGGTCTGCTCCCTCCTGGGAAAACGGGGGCCAGCGGAGAGGAGACCCTCAGGTCCTGTTCCCGAATCCGTGTCCCGCTTCCTCTCCACGCCAGGTGCACTGCCGGCCTGTCCCCTCACCCAGGCCCGCCTCCTGTGCCTTTCCCAGGCCCCTCGCTAGAGGGCTGATCCTCCCAGCACCTGTCGCCCATGGCAACAGCAGGAAACACTCAAATCTCTCCCCGTTCAGGACCCCCCTGTCACCCTCACAGGATCCCCCTTTACTGGCCTCCCTCGTTCTGATCTCCAGGGCTGCAGTTTCCGAAATGCCGCCCTCTCTATTTCCTGCACATCTATCCTGCCAGGAGCTGGCGAATGTCTGCCAACCGCTCCCCGGGAAAGCTGGCCCTGGTTTATGGCGTCTGCCCATTTCGGCGGTGTAAACACTCCCCCTCGGACAGTGCACACCACCCATGCCACGGCGCTGCCTGAGGCCCTGGGAGGAGACGTGCGGTAGCACTCGGCTCTGTAGGGTTTCCACCGTAAAGGTACAAAGACATAAAAAGCCTCAGAACACAGACACTACAGTAACTGCAAGTGTGTTAGGAGCTGATGAGGGGTATTTGTTGCATATCTTTTGCATACTGTAGGCACTTCAATGATCAATCCTGGCTGTGCCGGACAGCTGGCTCTCCCTGCCAGGGCAGGGCCTGGCTTCCAAGCGCCCCCAGTACCCAGCTCCACCAGCGCGCCCTGCAGGCCAGGCCACTGCCGAATGCTGGGCTCTGAGACCATCCGAACCAAAGGACCCTCCTTGCTCTTTCGTGCTGGCTACAGCCTCGACGCTGAGCATGGGGGTCAGATCCCAGGGAATATTTGCAATGTGCTTCTCCTGATCTCACTGCATCCAGTGGTGGAAGCTGGCTGCCCTGTCCCTGGCGCTGCTGGGGTTTCTGTACTTGGCACGTGTCCGCGGGGACCCGGTGTGTTGGGGGCAACTGAAGCTGCTGAGCAGAAGGAAGGGGAGGTGGGGGGCGGGGGAGGGTCCTCTCTCGCTGAGGTGGGAGGAGGCGGCAAGTCCCAGAGAAGAGGCAGAACAGCACTGGAAAAGCCCTGGGGTGACTACTCCCAGGTCCTCCCCACCCCGACCCCCCCAGGCTGTGAGCCTGCCCCTCGGGATTCTACAGAGCTCGGGGCAGGAAGGAGGCTGTGATCCGGGCCATCAGGAGGGTCGTTAGCTGCGTGGGGGACCCGGTCCTCTGCTCCTTGGGCATTGCATGCTCAGCCTCCTGAACGAATGGAGACACGATGCTGACAGGTCCGGGACCTTGACCCACAGGACCGCTTTAGGCTGCTTTGGGACAGACCGTAGGCCCGGCTGGGTCTCAGGGGAAGGACTGGTCCTTAATTATCCCCATTCCATGGACGAGTTCTATCGTATCTGACGTTAGCCCAGAGCTAAAGCACGGAGGAGCTCCGAGGGGCTCCTCCACTCCGCACGGTCCCGGCGCCGTGGAAAGGTCAGGGGCGCGGCGCACAGCAGCCGCCGGGCGGGCGGACGGACGGCCTCTCACCGAAGATGATGAGCGGCAGGTCCAGCCAGACGGCCGCCAGGCGGAAGAGCAGGAAGGGCGCGATGATGCCGCCGAAGTCGCACAGCCCGGAGCAGAGCGAGACGCCGAAGTTCCTGCGGGGAAACCGGGTTCGAGCGGAAAACGGTGAACTGAATCCAAGAGGCGAAAACAGTCAGGCAGACACCAGCTAAGATGCTGCCATGGTGTCCTGCATTTCTGTGCTTCTGATCTTTGAAAATGACCGCTCTCTGTGCTCCGGGCAAACCCTTCCATCTGACCACCCCCCTTACCCTCCCGCCCCCCTCCCCCCGCAGCTGGGTGAGCACAGCATGCGGGGCTGGGGGTGGGGGAGCCTTTGGGGCTGGAGGGCCGCATCCTCAGCAAGCAGCCCGCCCACCACTGGACAGCGAGCTGTGCCAGGCTCCCCTGCCCACCCCCCCCAGGGCGGGAGCTGCCCACCATGGCTGTCCCTCCCACAGACGTGGACGGGGTCAGAGTGGAGCAGGGAGGCTGGTAAAGGCAGACCAACCCGCAGCCAAGCAAGCGTGCGAGCAGGTTCTCTGATCCCAGTCCAGCGCCTTCCCACGCAGCCACGGCCCTGGGCGAAGGTGCGGGTGAGAGATCTCCAGCCCCAGAACGTGGGCGCGGGCACTGCGGGAAGCCGCTACCGGGAGCAGGCCGTCCCGGTGGCTGGGCGCGGCCACGGCCACCGAGCAGCGAGCTGAGGAATCTCCGTCCTGGCTCTGAGGTCACCCCCCCCCCCCCCCCGCAGAGCGATGGGGAGAAGCCTGGCAGGTGTCGGGGTTACCGTAACGTCGTCGGGTACAGCTCCGAGTTGACCAGGTAGACGATCTCGAAGGCCATGGTGATGCCCAGCCGCCCCAGCGTGGCCACCGTGGTCCGCAGCCAGGGCGTTCCTGCGGACGGGGGACGGGGGACGGGGACGGGCAGGTGAGGGCCGAGCCCTGGGGCCGGTGCGTGAGGCAATGGACGGCGTTCGCCTCCTGTGCCCGCGGCCCTGAGCCCTGGCTAATTCCCGGCACAAACGACACTGCCTTCTAGGACTGACGCCGAATGTCAGCACCATCCCCCGCCCCCCCCCCCCCCCGGGGTGCCGCTGCCCGTTCAGTCCCCGGCTCCTCTGAGGACGCGACCTGAGAGCCACGCGGGCAGCCGCCGAGCTGAAAGCCAGGCTCCGAGCGGCGTCTGCGGAGAGGCCCGCCCCTCCCCGGGCCTCTGCTGCTCGGAGCCTCCGTGATGAGGACAGAGCGGCCACCGCACCGGTGCCCTCGGCTTCGGGCTCGGGAAAGGGCCTCGACGCCGCCTCCCTGGCTTTGCCACCGTGTCTTCCTCATCCCCGGCCTCGCCGCTTTCCCCGAGGAAGCACCGGGAGAGCCAGGCCCTCAGTCCCAGCTGTTCCTTCACTGGCAAACACAGCGCCCGATCCAGCTCCTCCGGTCCACGAGGAAACCAGTGAGAAACGCCTGTGCTCTGCTAGCGAAGAGCAGTCAACGAATAACAAAACGCTAAGCCAGCCCTGGCCAGTGTGGCTCAGTGGACAGGTGTCAGCCTGTAGACTGAAAGGTCCTGGGTTTGTTTCCGGTCAAGGGCACATGCCCCAGTTGCAGGCTCGATTCCCAGTAGGGGGCGTGCAGGAGGCAGCCGATCAATGGTTCCCTCTCACCATTGATGCTTCTCTCTCTCCCTCTCCCTTCTTTTCTGGAATCAATAAAGAACGTGTTTTTTAAAAAGCTAAACCCATTAAATGAAGCAGGTGCCCAGAGGGCAGAGGGAGGGATGGCCAGGAGCCCGGGCCGTGGCTGGGAGGCCCGGTGTACAGGGTTTAGATGGTGCCCTGGCCGGCGGCCGGTGCCCTGGGCGCTCCCCCCGGGGGGAGGTTCGGGGGGCAGTCACCCGGGGCTCCCGCGCCGCGGCCGTCAGCAGCGTCCTGGCCGCTCTGCTCGGCACAGAGCAGCGGGGACACGCGTGTCACTCAGGCTCGGGTTCCCTGGGAGCCAGGGCTGGGCGGGCACTCCGCCCCTGCCCTCACTGAGCGGCGGGCGCTGCCAGGCCGGGAGTGGAATGCGGGGCCGCTGCCCGGACTCCCCGGCCCCGCCCGCCGGGCAGCGAAGAAGAATGTGCCCTGGGACGCGGAAAGAACTTGATTATCCGAGTGAGGCTCTTAGCCTGTGGGCCTTTTCTAAATGGGTCCCATTGACAACTTCAATGCAAATTAGGCTCACAACGGAGGCCAGGACAGTCTGCTGGGAAGAATCAGACAACATCAAATAAAACACACACACACACACACACACACACACACACACACACACACGCGCGCGCACATACACAGCATGAAACACATTCAGTCTGTTCGGAAAATCATTCAGAAAACGCTGTGAAGTTGCCACCCTTGAGGAGAGGAGGTTGACCTTAACCTGAAGACCCTCAGCTCATGCCTAGCGCAGAGGCCAGCACTTAGCGGCCCTCCCCGGGGACGGGGTGTTGTTGGAACGCGTCACAGACGTCCCAGAGGCATGGGGCTGTTTGTCGACTGAAGAATAAAAGGAAAACAATGCACCCTAACCGGTGTGGCTCAGTGGTAGAGCGTCAGCCTGCGGACTGAAAGGTCCCGGGTTCGATTCCAGTCAAGGGCATGTACCTTGGTTGCGGGCACATCCCCAATGGGCGATGTGCAGGAGGCAGCTGGTCGATGTTTCTCTCTCGTCGATGTTTCTAGCTCTCTGTCCCTCTCCCTTCCTCTCTGTACAAAATCTATAAAACACACATATATATTTTTAATTGATTTTTTTTTTTTTACCGAGAGGAGAGAGGGATGGAGAGTTAGAAACATCAATGAGAGAGAATCATCGATCAGCTGCCTCCTGCACACCCCCTACTGGGGATGTACCCGCAACCAAGGTACATGCCCTTGACCGGAATCGAACCCTGGACCTTTCAGTCTGCAGGCAGACGCTCTATCCACTGAGCCAAACTGGTCTCGGCAAAACATATACTTTTAAAAAAAGACAGACTTAAAGTGCTGGGGTTTTTTCGCCATCCTCAAAGTAAAGAGACGAGGGCGGACAGAGAGAGCTCCTTATTTCTCAGAAACGTGTGAGTCTCAGGAGGACAGGGACAGCCAGAAAGACTAGCTCTTTTCCCACCACGTCACACCGCAGACCCTGACGGGTGAGCGCGGGGCGGGAGCGCTGGCTGAGCTGTTCTCTGTGGGTCCCGGCCTCCCTGCTCCCTGGGTGGCGCAGAGCGCCGCACCGACCCCCCCGGCAGCCCTGGGTGGGGAGCTGTTCCCGGGCAAAGAGCATCACAGCAGAGGGGCCACACTGCATCGCCCCCCCCTCACCTCACGGCAGCAAACACGTCACCCCGATTCTGCAGGCTCATCTCAGGGAGCTCCATTTCCAAACGAAACCCCAAACCCTGCAGGCCAGATGCCCAGGACATTCCCGATCCGTCCCCCTTCCGCGTCACCTGCCCTTGCCTCACTCCCCCCCCCTCCCGGGGCAGGAATGACGTCCTTCTGGTTCCCGGTTCTCACTTAGCGACGACAGTGGATACTAAACAGCCACCTATTGGCCGATAGCTCATCGAGAGGCCCAGCTCAGTGTAGTGGGGTGAATAGTGTCCCCCAAAATTCATGCCAGCCCCAAACCTCAGGGTGGGGCCTTGTTTGGAAACAGGGTCTTTGCAGATGTCACAGTGAAGACAGAGACGCTGAGAGAAGGTTGTGTACAGGTGGAGACAGAGACGGGACCCAAGTCAGCTACGCTGGCCAGCGCCGGAGCGGGAGAGAGGCGGGACCGGGCTCCTGGAACCTCCAACCTCCGGCAGAAGGACCCGCCGGCCGGCACCACCGGAGCCGGAGAGGAGGGAGGCCCTCACGGGAGCCGGGGAGCCTCCAGGACGTGAGAACCATCTCTGGGAATGCGTCCGCTGGGAGGACGGGCAGTGGGCCAGGCCTCCTGTGGTCACCAGCCAGGCCAGTGACGCAGACCTGTCTCTCCCCGTCCCTCTGCTCTGACGCGGGCGCTGTCACTGTGCCCACAGAGGTCTGTCCAGTGCTGGGGACGCACGCACCCCCATGGGGTCACTGACCCCCTCTGTGGCGGTCTGGACGGCTCTGACTCCCGCCACGTGGTCCAGTCTCTCTGGTCCCCAGGAACACAGGACGCCCGGGCGTCTAGCTCTGCCACCCGCCCCGCTCCCCCACACACAGACGTGACAGGCTGCTCACACACGGACACCCCCAGAGAGTGCTCTCCTCTGTCCACGCCTGCAGGACCCCGGGGCAGAGGCCACTGGGCGGGGTCACCTGCAGGCTCTTTACCCGACATCCGGTCCCGGGAGGTTCAGCCCTGAACCATCTCTGAGGTCCCACTCTCCCCTCCAGGCCCGACTGCCCCCCCCCCCATGTCGTTGTCCAAACTGCTGCGGCTACAGGAGGCCACCCTCTTCTTCCTTCCACTCCTCCCCTTCCTCCTCCCCCAAAGCCCACAGGACCAGACACAGGCTTGTCAAAGGTGATCGAAGGTAAACTACAGCCCTGGCCAGTGTGCTCAGTGGTTAGAGCACCGGCATTCTCACCAAAGGGTCACAGGTTGGATTCCCAGTCAAGGGCATGTGCCTGGTTGGCAGGTTCAGTCCCTGGCTCTGGTCGGCGTGTGTGTGTGTGTGTGTGTGTGTGTGTGTGTGTGTATGTGTGGAAGGCAACCAATCAGAGTGTCTCTCTCACATCAATGGCTCTCTCTCTCTCTTTCCCCCTCCCTCCCTTCTACTCTCTCTAAAAATCAACGGGGAAATATCCTCCAGTGAGGATTAACCAAAAGAAAAAACAAGTGACGAAGCAGAGAGAGAATCAGCGATGTCACGGAAGTGCGCCCCGCACCCAGACGCCGGCGCAGCGGACAGGAGGGCGTCTGTCCGGTTATTTCTGATCCGCGTGGGCTTGGCAGACACTGACCTTCCGGGAGGAACGCGGTGACCAGGCAGGCCACGCCGGCCAGGAGGTTGCTGGCGGCGAAGGGGAGGCGGCGTCCGCAGCGCTCGATGGTGAGGAGGATGAGGAGGGCCCCGGGCAGCTCCACCACTCCGGACAGGAAGAAGTCCATGTACAGGTTGCCACCCAGGATGCCCAGGCGCATGACCAGCCCCTGGTACACCACGGCGCTGGTGAACCTGCGGGCGGGCGGGCGGAGAGAGCCGTGAGGGCGGCGCCGCCCGGCGGGGACGGGGCTGTAAATCTGACACGGGCTTTGGAATGCATCACGGGCCACACTTACCACGCAAACATAAGGATTAGGGTGCACTTCCTCATTTGGGGAGTTCTCACCAGATCTAAAAAGGATGGGTTACTAACTTCCTCATCTGACACAGTGATCTACACAAGAGAAGCAGAGTTCAGTGGCAGTGGACAGCAGGTAACCCCCCATCCCAGATCTGTCATTGGCCGGGTCAGGGCCCCCGAACTGACCGGCTGCCCGGGCTGACCAGGGCCTCGCACTACTGCATCTTAAAACCTCCAGGGCAGGGGTCGGCAAACTCGTTAGTCAGCAGAGCCAAATAGCAACAGGACAACGACTGGAATTTCCTTGGAGAGCCGAATTTTTAAAACTTAAGCTTCTTCTAACGCCACGTCTTCAACACAGACTCGCCCAGGCCGTGGTTTTTTGTGGAAGAGCCACACTCCAGGGGCCAGAGAGCCTCGTGAGGCTCTCGAGCCGCAGTTTGCCGACCACGGCTCTGGGGAAACTCACAGAGGTGCGGTTGCTCTGCGGAGAACCCGGTCCTAGCTGACCCCAGCAGGGCTGTGTGCTAAGATGCTTCCAGCAAACGGGAGACGAAAGGGGTGTTCGTGACTCAAATACCGTGGCGCATTCATGCACATCAAATGGGAGGAAATAGGCATAAAAGCGGGCAGAGCAGGTGGGAACCAAACAAGTGTTTCTTCACCCAGTAAAGCCTGGGACTTCCTGTGGACAAATAAGCCGGAGTGACGTGAAGTGTGAGGGCGTGTGTGGCACCGACACTGCTCTTTTGTTTCCGTCAGTCCAGCATCTTTCTGGCTCAGAAAAGCTCAGCCCCTTCCTTCTCTGGCCACCCAAGAAGTTGGTCTCTTCTTCGATGCAATGAGCAAGACGGCTGTGGGGCCCCCGTGCAGAGGCATGCTAAAGCAAAGCCCAACAGCATGCCCCCCAGAACCATAGCTGCCTCCGAAGAAGCCAGAGCCCAACCCCCAGAGTGACCGGGTTTCACATGTACACGAGCTGGCAGAGTCTGCAACCTCTGCTCTGAGCGCCCTCAGACCTCCCGGTCCCAATGTCCCTCCACGGGGAGGTCTTTCCCAGCCTCAGGCGGGACCAGTGACTCCAGCCTGTGCTCCAACCGCCAGACCTGACCTTGTACCCGCCACCACATGCCCTGCAGGTCCGCCTCTCTCCCTCCCTCCCTCCCTGAGCCCAGCGCCTGCTGCTCAGCCAACGTTTGGGCGATGACTGAATGCTGGAACCACAGGACGAGTGCCCGGGCCCTGTCCAGACCTGCTGTCTGTCCAACTCCACTCCAGATCTGGCCCAGACTGAGTGGAAATGGGGGGCAAATTCCCCCGAGTCTTTGAGCCCAAAGCCCCTCTACCAGCAGTCACGGGAACTTGCGTCCATTCACACGTAGAGAAAGGGGTCTATTCTAAATATCAGACTCAACGGATGGTCATCAAAGCTGAATGCCTCCTGCTATGCTCGCTCCAGGGAAAGGCAAACGCTCACAAAAGACCACACACACACACACACACACACACACACACACACATGCCTTCAGATCGCTGTGCCTTCCTAAGCCTTTCCAAATGTTCCTTCCACACCAAGGCACACCCTTGTCACGTGCTCACATCTCTTAAATGGAAACATGGCCTGAGCTGATAAGAAAGCAATGAGTCACAGTTTAATAGCCCATTTTCCCCTCAGTTACATGATGATGACATGTCTTAAAATCAACAGTGTCTTAGAGTCTGCGAACAGTGGTAGCTTCCATGACTCTGCGGGGAAGGACTGCCAGTTGACACTACCACCCATCTTCCCTCTCCCTTTTGACAGCAGATGCCCCTGGGTTTTAGCTGAGCGCACGGCTGCCCCACTGCCGGCCTCTTCCCCTGGGGCGGCCGGGGTACGAGGACCTCAGCCCTGAGGTGGGAGTCGAGGGCACAGGTTCTGGGTCCCGTGCTTTCAAAAGGAACGGGCTCACCCCTCACTCTCTGCCTTCCCCTTCCTCACGGAGAGAAGAAGATGCCGGTGAGCCTGCTTCAGCCTGAGCCCTCTCACAAGTGATGGGGAGACCAGACAAATGGGCCCTGGGTCCCGGGAGGTCTCACCGAACTCGGCCGCCCTGCAGAGCTGGGCTCCTCCCTCTGGGTGCACACGCTCACACGTTCTCTCTCTTTTTCGCTGTTTTCTGGGTCTCTGTTCCCTAACACAGCGCCTATGAGACGCTCAGGGGACTCGTGAGGACGTGGTGGGCCCGGCCACCTCTCAGCAGCCTCCACCAGGAGAGCGCAGTGTAAGGGCGAAGCCGAGAGCCAGCGGAGCGGAGAGGAGAGCACATGGCTTGAGGGTGTTAAGACCATGTCTGGCCGACTCAGAACCCTCCTGTAATGTGAGCGTTCTGGGTACGCGACCAGGCAAGGTGCTTATTGTCCAAGTCTGATTCCGCTGCTTTCCCGCCACGTGTGGCCAAAAAGCAGAACTACCGGGAGAACTTAGTCCAGAACAAGGCTCTCACCACAAATATTGTTGGTGATTTTGCATTGGATAAAATAATTGCTTCGGGACTCTCATCCATCCTGTAAAAATATTCGGGATGGGTCCTCATTTCAAACCTGGGAGATTTAACAGCGCGCAGTCACATGATCGCGGCTCTTCCCTTAACGCACAGGCCGGAATGCTCCGGTATACCCTCCCCCGGCGGAGCGTGAAGAGCCGATGAACGTGAAGGTCGCGGGGGCCGCAGCACCAGGCTCGCCTGTCCGGGGACGAGGATTAACAGTCCTGCGGCGAGTGAGACTCGGGCCACTGAAGAACACATCCAGCTGGTCCGAGACGCACCCGCAGTGACGCACACGCCCTGCAACACGACCCACTTTCTGGGCGTCCCGAGGCCTCGGAGCCAGAAGCTGCGTCTCGCGCGGCCTCGGGCCAGGAGCGGCCTGGCAGCGCCGGGGCCGGCGGCCGCGGCCATGACCCCTCGCCTCCATTCTGAGAGGAACCGCGCTTCCTATCGCCGGAGGGCTGCCAGATTTCACCCCGCCCACGTCAGACACTCAGAAAGTGGAAATGCTACATCGAGTTACTACAGGTCCTTTTAAGTTCACTTTACTGAGACGCAACTTCCATGCGGTAGAATTCGGCAGTGTTAAGAGTTCGCCTGCATGAGCTTGGCACTTGTGTAGAGTCGTGTAACCGCCGCCAGCCTCGTGACATGGGCCTTTTCCAGAACCCTAAAAAGTCTCCTCCTGCCCCTTTGCGGGAGATCCTCTCCCCGCCCCCGCCGCCCCAGCGACCCCTCCTCTGCTCTCTATTACCACAGCCGGGCTTTTCTAGAACGCCACAGAAAGGCACCCGTACGACGTGCGTCCTTGGGTCCCACACGGCATTGCATCATGCCACATTTACGCCACCGGAGTGGTGTGTGCCCGCTCACTCTCTGCCTTCCCCTGCGGGGATAGTATTTGTGTGTTTGGAGGCTGGTTGCCTAGTAACGGCCCTGTCCAGCAAGGCCTTGCTCCGGCTCCACGGCACACACTGGCTCCCTCCTCCCGATTCACGGAGCTGACTCCTGCTGGCCCTGCCCGGCCAGCAGCCCTGCTTCTGCCAAGACGTTGGTCTTAGGTCAGCAGTGATGCTCCCGGGCTGAGCGAGCCTCACTCCTCGCCCCCTGACGAACGCCGCTCTGTTCACACGTCCTCCCGGGCCTCTCTGAGACGTTTCTCTGAGCTGACACTTTAATGAAAATTGCCGGGGGAGAGGGAGACGCTATAGACAGTGGTCTGTCCTGGCGGGGTGCTCCTGATGGGGCGGGGTTCTGCTGATAAAAGACAGCCCCTGAGGTCAGGCCAGAGACACGCTGTTCCCCTTTTTACTTTTTCCTCTTTTTATATGCCCTTGCGTCTATTGGGGTGGCACTGGTTAATAAAGTTATACAGGGTTAGCACACAATTCTATCGTACCTCGTCTGCATATTGGACCGAGTGTTCACTCCCTGAGCCCGCAGCCAGGTCTCCTCCGCCACCTCGGACCCTCTCTGTGCTCTCCTACCTGCCCCCGCCCCCTCTCCTCTGCTAAGCGCCACCTCGCTGTCTGTGCCTGTGAGTTTGGGGGTTCTTTTGGTTAATCCCTTCCCCTTTCTAGCGGTCAGTCTGGTCTCTGTATCTGTGAGTCTGTTTCCTAACTCTATGAGCCTCAGTTCGCTCCCTGCAGTGGGATTTTGGCGATCACCGGACACCAAGAGGGCAGACTCCCAGGGCCTGCTGGTCGTTCTCAACACGCGGGTTTTCTGTCCGTTCCACGTTCCCCAGAAAAAGGTGAGGGCCACTGAGGGGGAACGGGTCTGTCCTCAGCCTCACCCGTCGTTTAGTTGCAGCCATCATTTGAATCGAAAAGCATTTATCTTCCTAAGCCAGTGCCTTGAAAACGGAAGCTGTATTCTTAACGACTTTTTCCTTTAAGAGAGCTCTGGGATGGGGCTCGTTAGCACTGTTTTCCCAATAGCTTTGGTTCCCACCCCGTTCCCGTTCCCGGGTGTGATAGGATCGCACTTCTCCGTCCCCGGTGACTGGGTGAGGCCACCTCCCGAGTCCGCCAAGAGGCTGTGAGCATTTAAATGCTGCAGCAAGACCCTGCCAGTTCGGGGGTCTGGGCAGTGGGGGCCCAGACAGGCCCTGCACCAGGAGGAGCCCACCCCAGCCAGGTGGCACCGACAGGAGCCAGTCCTTAGTTGTGACACACACGCCCAGATTATCCTGAGTGAGAAAACTGTGGCTTTCTCAGGTTTATTTAAAAACCCTCTGGTCCACACCTGTTTCTTGATAGGAATGCATTACTCTGAGTATGAAGGTTCCCTTTTGAAGTAATTGGACTAAAACTATTTGATTTACATTTAGGAAAATTGCAATTTTTGTGATTTTGTCTGTTTCTTAGAACTAGTCAGTCATTCAGATGAGATCACCCCAGAGAAACTCCCAGGAGAAAGTGAGGGCGAGGTCTCCACATCTCCAGCGGCCAGGCACTGACACGTCACCGCGGACATGGACCGAAACAGGAGCCCAGGTCAGCCGCAGCTCAGAGCTCAGAGTGTAAGCCGGGCTCACAGAGAGAACAATTAACAAAGCAA